CCATCGTCTCCCCGAGCACAAGCCCTGGGATCACGCCATCGATCTCATCCCAGGAGCTCCAACCACCATGCGCACCAAGGTCTATCCCATGTCCCCGAACGAACAAGAAGAGCTCAACCGCTTCCTTGACGAAAACCTGAAGAAAGGCTACATTCGCCCATCCAAGTCCCCTCTCTCGTCCCCGGTCTTCTTCGTCAAGAAGAAGGATGGCAAACTCCGCTTCGTTCAGGACTATCGTCGACTCAACGAAATCACCGTCAAGAACCGTTACCCACTTCCTCTTGTCTCCGACATCATCAACCGCCTCCGTGGTGCCAAGTTCTTCACCAAGTTCGACGTGCGTTGGGGTTACAATAACATCCGCATCAAGGAGGGAGACGAGTGGAAGGCAGCGTTCGCGACCAATCAAGGCCTCTTCGAACCTCTCGTCATGTTCTTCGGTCTCACCAACTCGCCGGCCACATTCCAAGCGCTCATGAACTCCATCTTTTCTGATCTTATCGCTGCCGGCAAGGTCGCGGTGTACCTTGACGACATCCTCATCTTCACCGTCACCCTGGAAGAGCACCGTCAGATTGTCCATGAGGTCCTGCGACGTCTCAAGAAACACGACCTGTACCTTCGGCCCGAGAAATGCGAGTTCGAACGCGAAGAGATCGAGTACCTGGGACTGGTCATCCGAGAGGGCGAAGTGCGTATGGACCCTGCCAAGGTCGAAGCAGTCCGCAACTGGCCTATTCCTCACAACCTCCGCACTCTACGGGGTTTCCTCGGCTTCGCCAACTTCTACCGTCGTTTCATCAAGGACTTTGCTACTATCGCCCGACCCCTCAACGATCTGACCAAGAAGGACGTCCCCTGGCAATGGAATGAGCCCCAGCAACAGGCCTTTGATACTCTCCGGAACGCATTCACGTCGGCACCGATCCTCACACTATGGGACCCTAGCCTGCCCACTCGCATTGAGGTTGACGCTTCAGGCTTTGCCACTGGAGGAGCTCTCCTTCAGAAGCACAATGATGGACTTTGGCATCCCGTGGCATTCCGCTCCGCCTCCATGCAGCCGGCCGAACGCAACTACGAGATTTACGACCGTGAGATGTTAGCCATCATTGAAGCCCTCAAGGACTGGCGACATTTCTTAGAAGGACTCCCGGACCCGTTCGAGATCGTAACCGACCACTCCAACCTTGAGTACTGGCGCACTGCTCAAGACCTCAGCCGCCGGCAAGCACGATGGGCCCTTTATCTTTCCCGCTTCAGGTTCTTGCTCACCCACCGCCCTGGCAAGGCCAACACTCAAGCCGACGCCTTGTCACGCCTCGACATTCACCAGATCACCGACGCCGAAGACAACAAGCAACAGGCTCGTCCTCAAACCGGAGTACTTTGCCAAGATCGCCGTCGCTCACATGATCGTCAATCCCCTGGAGCAGCGTATCCGCGACGCCAGCACCCGTGAAACTCACGTTCTGGAAGGACTTGCCCAACTTCGCACATCCGGTCCTCGTCGTCTCGTCAACGGTCTTGCTGAATGGGAAGAAGAAAACGGTCTGGTGTACTATAAGGGGCGTGTCTACGTCCCACCCGACGACGAGCTTCGCCGCGACGTTCTCAAGCAGTGCCACAACGATCCCACCTCTGGTCACCCCGGCATCCATGGAACCCTCGAGCGAGTTGAACGGCAATACTGGTGGCCTGGCATCCGAGCCTTTGTCAAGAAGTATGTGGATGGTTGTGACGCCTGCGCACGAAAGAAGCATGTACAGCACCCCAAGGCCTCCACCCAGCCTCTAGACGTTCCCCAAGGTCCCTGGGAATCCGTTGGTGTCGATCTCATCACACAGCTTCCTGAAGCACACGGACACGATGCCATCATCGTCTTCACCGACCACTACAGCAAGGCTCTCCACGCTTTGCCCTGTACGTCCGACATCACCACCGAAGGCGTCGCCGACATCTACTACCGAGAGGTCTTCCGTCTTCACGGCCTTCCCCTGCAGTTCATCAGTGATCGCGGCCCCCAGTTCGCCTCCAAGGTCATGCGTACCCCTACTTCGTCGACTCGGTATCCAATCCAACCTCACCACGGCCTATCACCCTCAAGCCAATGGTCAGACTGAACGCGCCAATCAAGAAGTCGAGAAGTATCTCCGCCTTTACGTCAATCGCCGACAAGACGATTGGGACGAGCACCTCCCAATGGCTGAGTTTGTGATCAACTCCCGCGTTCACTCCGCTCACAACCGCTCGCCATTTGAAGTCCTCTACGGCTACATTCCTCACTTTAACATCCCGGTTGGCAAGAGAACTGGACTCCGACCTGTCGACGACCGCCTTCGGCACCTGCAAGACGTTCGGAAGGACGCTGAAGCTGCACTTCGACTCGAAAAGACCCACCAGAAGGACGCCTACGAGGCCGGCAAGCGATCTGCCCACCAGTTCAAGGAAGGCGACTACGTTTGGCTCGACGCGAAGGATATTCAGCTCAAGATACCCACTCGCAAACTCGGTGACTTCCAACTAGGCCCCTACAAGATTCTCGAGCGCATCGGCGACCTCGACTACAAGCTCGAACTCCCCAAGGACCTCTCTCGCATCCACCCTGTCTTCCACGTCGACAAGCTCTCTCCCTGGAAGGGTAATGATGTCAATGGCACCTTGCCACCCCCGCCTGAACCTGTTGAACTGGAGGGGGAGCTTGAGTACGAAGTCGACAGCATTCTGGATAGCAAGTTCGTCAAGAGGGGGAGGGGCCAGAAGCTCATGTACCTGGTCAGTTGGAAGGGGTATGGCGCTGGACACGACTCTTGGGAACCGGAAGAGAACTTGAAGAACGCGCAGGAGCTCATCGCCGAATACCACCGTCGACACCCGAACGCACCACGCCGTATCTCTGCCACCGTCTTCGCATCTATTCCCTGGCAGAAACAGCCGACAACTCAACCGTTCTGGCGTACGGACCTGGATTGGGAGGAGGGGCGCCGTTTGCCTAGGATCATCGAGGACGATGAGTCTTAGAAGGGGGGTAATGTCGTGAACTGCCGGTATGGCCCCTATTTTTCCTTATCTTATCTCATCGTTTTCCTTTATCTTATCTTCGCCTCTACCTTACCCCTTATTCTCGTCATGGACACTTTCACTCATGGAACACTGCCTCGCCTTGCCCTTTGCCCTGTTTCCTATTGTTCCTTTCTTCTTGCACAGCCTTGTGACTCGTTATGACTTATCGTGGCTTCTTTATTGTTTCATCCTTGATTCTTGCGCAGCCTTCGCGCAGCCTTGTGACCTTCCCTTATTGTCTTTCATGTATTGCATCGTTATTCGTCATTCTGACTCACGGCGGCTATGTAGCTTGTAGTTTACAGTATATAAGTTGTGTAGTTGGCCTTGTAGACTCCATTAGCTTGACCTCTTTGTCAATACACTGCTCTACTCGTCGCTCCAACTTATTGCTCAACGTCTCTCATCGCTCCCACTACTCTTATCTCGCCTCCGCTCATCTTATCTGGTCTTTAGTTTGGTTTAGTGTTCGCTCTTCGCGACATAAACACTGCATACATTCTCGGCAGCCATTCTGTCCATGATATATATCATAGTAGATATTTTGGCCTTCGGGCCACCCCTATCCCCTCTTTTGGATTAAAAACATACTATACATCGTAGTGTCCATCTCCCAATTCATTTTCCCCGAGTCAATGAGTCTACATTAATTATGAATTTTCATGAGCACTCAAAGCTAGTACAAGCAGACGGTCAAATGTATGTTTCTACAGAGTATCTGTTACGGTCAAGGGACGCGAACTCAAGTGAGCATGCACGTCGACCGTAGAGTCGTGGTTCCGAGGCGGGTTCGAGGGTATAGGCGTCTAAGAGTGCCTCACAAGAGGTATTGTCTTAAGACGACTAGAGCGAGTTCGAGAGAAGAGGAGAAGTGGGTATGATTCACGAGAACTAGCTAAGGAACAAGAGAGGTATCTACAGAGCTTATATACCTATCTAGCTACGTGAATATGAGTCAAGAGAAGTCAGAGAAGAAGGCTGCGCGAGCACAGGTTACTGCGGAGCGCAGCAGAGATAAATTAGAGAACAATAGAGAGTGGCTGCGCCGCAGCAAGAAGGAGTCATAAAGAGTCAAAGAAGGCTGCGCCGCAGCAGTAAGAAGAATTAACTGATAAAACAGTCACGAAATAAAGAAAGAGATCATGTGAACAAGAAAAAGAGTCATGTGATAGAGAAAAGACGCGAAAAGAAAAGATAGGGGCGGAATTCGTAACAGTATCACCTTATTCCCCTTTCCATATCTTCGCTGTACGTGTCCGATATCATTCTTCTACTGGCTTTGAATAGGAAATAGAGGCGGAGAGTTTCACTTGTGTTGTTATATCTATCTCTCGCAATTGCGCCAGGACTCCGGAGGTACTCCATCAATGTCCCTATACAAGTCCACTGCATGAAAGGAAATATGAAGGGCGTAATTGTCCTAGAGCAGGGGCACCAGTTAAATGACTTCCATTCCCCGTAGCTCCGTGTTTGTGACCATAAATGCCAATACATTCTTGAGAGAGAAAGGCCCCTATTCCCATATAAATAGTGATGGACACGGGTTTTCGATACCTGGCGGGTTACGGGTACGGGTAGGCGCGGGTGCGGGTACGGGTAAGGGTTGCCGTACCCGCGCCCTTCAAAACGAGCCCAAAAACGTCCAAAACGGCCATAAAATGGGCGGGTTACGCTTGATTTAAGTAAATTGAGTATATCTCGCTCATTTTTGGTCCGTTTTGGACGTTCTTGGGCTCGTTTTGTGCAGAATACCCGTCGGGTTGCGGGTACGGGTAAGCTCGGGTACGGGTACGGGTAGGGATAAATTTACCCGCGGGTTACCCGTGTCCTTCACTACATATAAAAGCAGATATGATCACTGCGTACCAGGTACCAGCCAAGCAGCGCTAGTTGCGACACTTTAACTCAAGGGAAGACCACCATAGACAATCCAAATCATGACTCCAGCACTTCCAACAAATCCCACAGCTCAACAAACAATCGAGCCGGACGATTTCTCGCTTCCGGTTGAGGCACTCTCACGCCTTTTCTGTAGCAACGCGATACACTATTCGTATTCCTTCAATCCTCGCCTCACAGAAGACGTGACACATGCTGCTTGGAATGTCGTCGTCAATCTCTGGCGTAACAATCGGCCCCTCCTATTCCCCACACCTCAGTTATACATCTACAAGACCAAACAGCAACAGTTAGAGGAGGACGATCCAAATGCCTCATTGGATACAGTCGCAGACAGCACAAGTCAAGGTGTCGTAGTGGACTACTGTATTCTTATGCCGGCTATCACGTGGTACCAGGGCCAAGCGCCGACTGACGAAGAACTAAAGGCCATTAATCTTGATTTCCTTTCCCTGGGATACGTCTCAAGCCTCTGCGCCCCGCTTCTTGTCGAACTCAAGAGACCGGTTACCCGAAGTGCCGACAATATTTTGGAGTACATCGCCGACCTCGGATGCAAGATTGGCAGCGCCGGACAACAGGTTCTCCTACAAAGCCAGTGTCTTTTCTCATCTGCAAAATATGCGGACCAGCAATGGGCAATCCTGGTAGCAGGAGCTGGGGGTTGGTGGATGTGTAAGATTGTTACCCAACAGGATATCGAACACATGTTTGACATCAGCGAATACGGGGATCTCCTGAAGCAACTCAAGAGAGAAGACATAATTTCACGTGAAACAGAGGAAAGAAAGGACAAGAAGAGGAAGGGTACAGCTAAAGTGGCAGACCCGGACGAGCTCTTCACACCGGCGGAAGTTCTTTCGATGAAGAGCGCGATGAAATCATGCACAGACTATTTCACAAACGAAGCCACGCTAGAAAAGGACAAAGTGCACCCAGGTTATTTCACACAACAGGCCAGGGAAGCACAGGCTAAAAAGCGTGCGCAGAGCGACAAGGCACGGGATATACGATGTGCGAGCCGGGCCGATAGAAAACAAGATAGACTTGCAGCATGTGTCGCATTGGAGACCTATATGCAAGACCTGGGGTCGAAGAGGTTTTATTCGGAGGAAGAAGTAAAATGGGCTCTGAAACTCCGGAATGGCTGCCATAACCATAAGCCCTCAGCACTTGGAAAGAAAGTCTGGGCAGACGCCCAGAGCGTCAAGATTCCCGTTGACGACCCTACCGAGTTTCCTTGGGACCAGGTACGCAACAGGCTCAGGAGTGATTGGACTCCCCCCATGCGAATTGCAAGTCCTGTCTCGAATCGATATTTCGCCGTCATCCGAAAGCTTTTGACGGAAGATCCCACCGCCCCATTGAACTTGACCGTGACGTAGTCATCCTACATTTATCTTAGGAGCTCTGGCAAACTTTGTGGTGCCTCCCTCACGTACATATGCATTGCGGCTAATGCCGTATTCCAGTTAATTGCCTTACATTGTAAACAATTGTCGAGCTCTCACGGAAACGGAAGAGTGAGGCCAAAAATGTGGAACTTCCTGGTGTTTTTGCTAAAACAGCTTAATTGTCTGCATATCGGTGTGAGGTGCAATAGTCGTAGATCGAAAGCGCGAATGAAGAGATCCAAGCATGCTAAGGATAAATCCGTGTCTCGCGGAGGAACCCTGTGCATCCGGGTGAGCTGAAGCGGTTTCTGATTCAGAGGGACGATGGAGCAAAACGATTAAAGAGCTGTGTTGGACGAGGGAAACAATCGACGACAGAGGGGAGCGACGGAAGTGAGGTTCAGGAGTATATATCAAATTAGTACGCTGCTCCTAATGGGAGGAGCCCACATCAAGCATTCACCCTCCCCCAACGCTGGCTCCCTCTTCGTCGTCCTCATATACCGATGTCACTTGAGCAACTTGGTTCTGACAAGCTCCTTCTCGTGCTCGGTCAGCTTCAAGAGCTCCATAGCTCGCTTGAGTATCTCATCCCTGTTATAATAAAAGTATTCCAGCTCGTCGCGCCGCGTTTCGGACGCTGGACTGGAGATGTTCACAAAGTAGATGATGAAGTCTCCTGTCAGCCATCGGCAGAACCTTGGGGCCATGAACGGTTCGCTGGGCATATTATGAGCAGTGAGATGAGAGGGAGTATACTCGAGTATACTGGGAAAAAAAGGCAGAAGTTGTTCTTCCTACTCACGGCTTCCCCCATAGCGTGCCACCTACGGACCACCTCAATCTCAACGTCATTGAAGCGATGTCGTCTAGGGAAGGACAGGGGTAACCCCCGGGTAGCCGGACACCTACCCTTACCCCCACCCCCCAAAACCCCTACCCCTGACTGAGGGGTAGGGGTAGTACCCTTACCCCCAACCCTGGGGGTTTTGACCAAGGGTTTTAATCATTTTGGCACTAACAATTACTTACAGTTGTCTATATGTATATTTTTATGTGTTTTATTGCACATACAGCAGTTATTTAGTAGAAAATATACATAGATGCTGAAATAAATGGGTTTTGATTGATTATTTATCAAAACCCCTTACCCCCGACCGGGGGTAGGCGGTTGGCCAAGGGTAGCTGGAGACCTACCCTTACCCCTACCCCCGCTCTACCCTTGGCCTCTACCCCGGGGGTTTTAAAACCCCTTGACCATCCCTAATGTCGTCCGATAAGCGGGCGGCCAAACCACGTGCCCAGTGACCAGAGGCCGGGAAACCTGCAAAGTACAGAGGTACCGGGATATTCCAGTGTGGGTCGACGTTCGAGAGGGGCTCGAGAGGGAGCCTCATCGCGTCGGTCTGGCTGGAAAAGTCTATGCTTGGAGGAAAGGCCTCGAGGCATCTGTCGTTTCAACTCGGTCTTGTCAACCAGAGAAGTAGGTCAGATATCGGCAGGGGGTACATACTTTGGGTAGTGAGTTGTATAAAGAGCGATTCTGTGGTACATTGTGAATTGGAAAGTTTGGATATTGGGGAATAAAGAACTTGGGGAAGTAGGAACGTCGGCTCAGTGCGAGCTATATACGAATAGGATATAACATGGACTCCTCACCAGCTGGCGTAACCGTGGTATCCTCGCTTTGTGGGTTCCGCTGTCAATCCGCGTCTTAAGCTGCCCAAGGCAGAGCTCGTGTTTACCTCAAGGCGTAGTTCTGTCTGCGTCAGTGCGTCCAGTGCGTCCAGCAATATGCCTCGTGCTCACATCGCGTTGCCGGTCCCAGGTTCCTAGTCAGCCATAGCGCTTCTAAAGTGTAACATATATACAGCAGGGCTGAGTGTTCCTACGGGTCATAATCATCCTCTTCGTCCCTTCGCCCCTTCGCCAGTCGCCCACTGGTTGTCGAATCTTTCATCTTCCACTCTACGCCGTACCCACCACTTATACATATCCGATGCCAGACCCAGTGGTCCTCTATACGAGGTATTACGAAGAGTATGTACTATATCCCCCTCCCACTCCACCGCACCTTCGCATCACATAACCAGGATCCTTCGCTGAGCATCAGTCGTCGCCTGTTTAACCATTACACAGGTGTCTTGAGGGGTTCCCAGCAAGCATCGAGTTCATCGACCAGCTCAGCGCGGTCAACCTCCCTGTGGAACCTCTCCGCCTGCCCGGCCTGCCAACTATCCCTGTACCGATTTATCTCGCTGGGTTCTTTGTAGATTGGAGGTTACGTCCGTCGGAGGGGGTTAAAGCGTATATGATTTCGGAGCAGGTGATAGATAGGTGGGAGGAGAAAGGATACCCGTGAGTAGTAGGAACACTCAGGCTAATCCTTCCTGTATTAACATCATATTGACGATCATGGGGCCCCCTTTCTGCTGCCCATGTTTCTATACCCCTGCCACGGCACCTGGCGCCGCCATTTTAATACAGGAAGCCGTTCATCTCCCCGTCGACCATTGACTGGCCAACCGGCAACTACCTCATCCATTTCGCGACGTACGCCTCAGGTTGCTCGCACCGAGATCTCAAGTACTTCCATGAACACAGGGATGCTGTGATAAATCAGTTCCTCGACCTCACGGACTTTACGGACGAGGCGAAGCGGTTCGTGAAGACTAAGGCGTTCAAGTGGCATCGGTACCTACTACCTGGTGGTTGGGAGGAAGTTTGAGGATATGGAGGCGGAACCGTTAGCTGATGATATTTGTTTGAGGAGGGCGACGGAGAGTAGTACTGCTAGCAACACCCATGAGGACGATCCCGATACGGTTATGAAGTTCGCTTCAACGGCATGTGAATCGTTCTCTCTCATCTCAAATGGTCTACCCAAGACTGGCTTAGTATAGTTATTTAAATAATCACAACCACTGGAAGCGAGGGTTGACAGTGAGTACTTATAGGACGCTCTACACGACCACATTTCACAACTACTCGCTATACCGCCATCCGCCCGCGACTGCTCAATGCTTTGGTCGCAGCACATGAAAAATTCCAGATCTCCTGTCCCCCGGGCCCTCCGAAAGCGTCCACTTACTGCTGTGGGCAAGGTGGCTCGAGCCCCAAGGGAATCCTTGGAATGGCTCCTGCTAACACAAGGAGACCTGAGGTTCTGTCTTGTCGTCTTCGGGCCAACCAGGTCCGTTTAAGCATTCTACGAGCAATTCTTCGAAGCGGACTTGATCGCCAATGTTTTCAAGCGCCTTGATCTGCGCCGGGGTCGGGTCGGCTACATCGACTTCGAGCCAAGGCGGAGCATTAGCGCGTAGCAATTCTTGATAACGGTATGAGAAGGCCCGTGCAAGCTGGGCCAGGACTTTGTTGATGGCATGAGGGACAAAAGGATCATCCTGGGCGCCAAACTTGAAGTGTGTTCCATCAGCAAAGCATATACGACCTGTTTCCATGCTAGTTCTCTTCAATGTGCCGCATTTCTGATGGGTAGAACCATCATATGGTTTTGCGGCGTCATCAAAAAAATCCGACATAAACACGGCAACATTCTGGACGTTGTGTGGCAAGTACTGGACCGCAAGCCAGAGGGTGAGATGAAACCACGATTCCATTTCATGCCAGACCTCGACTGGCTTGGAGGGGTTGTCGAGGATGTCGATGGCGAGGAACTGCCAGGTACCCTAGCCTAAAACGTTAGACATCGCAGACGGCGCTGGTTAGACATCCTAATCACTCACTGTCCGTTCCAGATGCCGTGGACCCTGGTCTGTAAGTTTCTCCGCCAATTCCCAGTCTGTCAGGAGTCCGTGGCGCTCCTCCTTCAATCTCCCCTCTTCAACGTCTGCACGGACGAAGATGAGGATATTTCCGACGCTAATGTCCCGGTGCATGTACCCTTTCTTGTGGGCATAGCCATGGGCTGTCAGGAAATGTAAATCAGTAAACTGTACTAGGGGAGATCCGAGAACGGACGCTCACCGGCAACACCATGCAAGATGATAGTAAGCATTTCACGCCCGTTCTTGAACTCAGTAATAGGCAGACCGACCTCCTTTACGACAAGGCGGTAGTGTTGGTGGGTTTTAAGGGGACACGTTTTGCTGGAATCCGGATGATTGAGTTCGGCCCAGAAGTCCTGTGAATCGGTTTTCTGCCACCCTCCTTCAACATCCCCGTGAGAAACCAACGTCGGGATGTACTTCCGACCCCTCTGGGGTTCCTCTTCGGGGGTGTTGAGGTCCAAAAGAACATCACCCTCCTTCCTTAGATCACCTCGCAAGACACGCCAGGTGTCTTTGAGGAAGACGAAAGGCCCATCTGGGTTCATGGTGTCAATCGCGATATAGCCACGCGTTCCGCGACTAGAGGCGACAGGGGAGCGGATGTGTGGTTGGCCGATGAGGAAATACCGCCCTTGGACGCTGAGCTTGTACCTCCGGCCAGTCCTGATTGTTTCCTGAAACAACATCCTGACGTGCTCGTCCACGTCGTGGCCTTTGAGCTTTCTTGGAGTATCGGCGCGCCGCTGGATCAGGTGCCAGTCAGGTGTTTCGCTGAGTACCCTCTCGACTGTTGCATCGAAGCCCCTGTCAGTAGGCGACAAGTGAATATAGCGCCAGAGAAAATCGCCCAAAAGCTCGGGATAGTTGAGGTAATTGAACGCTTCGGTGAAGACGAAGCCAGCTCGGTCCCATCGAACAATACGAGCCAAAGACCCAAAGATGAAAACCGTGTAGTGATGGGTGCGGTGTTGAAAGACGAAAGGGATGAGGGAATACGACTTGGCTTGTTCAAGCGCTTCCTGACTCGCAGGAGGTGCGGAAGCGAAGGGTTGGCCTACAAAGTCATCGAAGAAGTCCTTTCTGTCAGGAGGCACGACCCCGATACCGACTTCCAAAGTTTCGTAGTCCGGTCGTTCGTCTTTCGACGGGGCTTCGTTGATCTTGTATAGTCCGCCATTGATACGTGTCTTTGGGTGCAAACTTGAGTCAGGTTTGTAGGCCTTACTAAGGACTATCGCAAAACCTGTTCCCTCCAGCCAAGAAGAGTTCACGGTCGTCTGCTAAAAGACACAAGGGTTATTAAGTTGAGCTGTATGATTTGAGGCTGCCCAAATGATACACTTACCAAGAGATCGCGTATATCCTCTTCCTCTTCCTCCTCTTCCTCATCATTAACATTCTCATTCTTCTCTTCGCCCTCTTCGTCTCCGCCGTCGTTCCTCTGCACCCTGTCACGCATCCTAGTTAAACTATCATCCAAGTTGAATTCAGGTGGATGCGCTGGCTTGGGGAAGTAGCGAGCCATTAACTGCTCGTAAGAGCATTGAAAAAACGTCGGCTTCATGTTTTGCTGGATCCAGGATACTGGTGCAGGGATCTGGTCCAGGTTATTAAGGGTGTCGTATTGGTTGACAACAGCGTACTGGGTTGACCGCAGGTCCAAAGCTCAATATTCAATGACCGCGATGTTTGGATGACAGTATGCACAGCCACTTTGTTTTCCTGTTCCCCTGTTTGGCATCGGAGTCCCTATCTAATATATGCGCCCTCGAGCCATATTATGCAAGCCCTTCCCTCCCGTCCTCGATCTACCTTGCATTTTGGAGACCCAAAGCTTCACTTGCGTGTCGTTCGAATAAGTCGACCGTGAGCGTTGGACTTTGGATATTCTACGGTCCAAAATGTACATACACAAGGCGAAAAGGAAGACAAATTTAGATATGCTCAAAACGCGCACCCTAGTTAACCGCTGAGCGGCTTGGTATCGTGGCTATCGCTATTACTCGCAGTGCTAGTCCGACTCTGACTCTGAGGAACTCTCCTCAAACACGCATCCTCCGGCAACGCCTCTACCTCCTTCTTCATAGTTCTCATATACCGATGCCATTTAAATAACTTGGTCTTAACGAGCTCCTTCTCGTCGTCAGGAAATTTCATGAGACCCAAGGCCCGATCAAGTATGGCGTCCCTGTTGTCATAGAATAAATCGAGATTATGGCGCATGGTGACTGGGTACGAGAAGGTCACAAAGTAGATGAGGAAGTCGCCCGTTGGCCATTTCGTGACCTTTGGGCTCATGAACGGTTCCCTGTATACGAGAAGGTGCCAGAGCGGTGTGTCGCCACATCGGCAATAGCGGGAGCAAGTTCATTGTCAGCCGCTCGTATATAAATCATAGGAAGGACAGAAATTCCTAACTCACGGTTTCCCCTCAGCCTCCCACCTCCGCACCACTTCAACCTGGATGTCATTACACCTGGGCCATCCAGGAGTACGGGCACCCCAATGGCAAAGCCAGGCCGCAGAGACAAAGAAACCCGCATAGTACAAGGGCACAGGGATGGTGAGGATGGAGTCGACTTTCCGGAGAGGCTCGACAGGGAGGGACACCGCGTCGGTCTGGCTGGAAAACTCTATGCTTGAAGGAAACGCCTCGAGACATCTGTTTTTCGGATTCAACTCGTCTTCCAACCAGCGAAGCACCTCAGCGGCAGGCGGTACATACTCTTTGTAATACTTCGTGTAAAGCAACCTCGTTTGGGACATGGTGAGTTCACTGGGTATAATCGATATGTCAAGTGCGGACCAGTGGGCGATACGGCAGCTTCGGTGACGACGGGTCAGTGCCAGCCACATCTGAGCCACATACCTATATCCCAGTGAACTTCACATCACGTGGAGCTCTGAATCTACTTGCACCGACTCGGACCTGCAAGCCTCGCCAAAATGTCTGGAGAACACTCCTCAGAGGAACCCAGGGAGCAGTATTGTCTTCGGGGCCAAGTAGTATAAGTAATGACCCTCTCCACAGAGGAGACCCATCGAAATTGCTAGAATTACAAATCTTAACAGTGAGCCCCAATTCATAATTGTCTTCGGGGTAAGTAATCAGGGGCCCGGGAAGGGAACAGGAGGGTTATCGAAGCATACTCATACTCTTTCATAACACATAACACTTGGTATTTGAAAGTAACACGCCGTGACGCCGTGGATATATCATACCAGAACAGCTGAGTGGAAGAATTCGCCAATGGGCGACTAAGTAGTAGCTACAAAAAAGGGAACGACCTAAGTAACAAAAAAAAAGGGAAGAAGGGCGCCGGCTAACCGTAGCCTCATGTTACAGACACTCCGCTGCCTCTCGCATGTCTGTCACACGAGCAGGGGGGCACATAAAGTGGGACTTGAGTTTCGCGACAGGGACGGCAGTCCGCTGCCCCCAGCTGCAGTACAGTGCTAGCGATACCACGCCAACAGTCACCAGCCACACCCACACACCTTCACACACCCACACACCCACACACCCACACATAAGGAAAGAAAAGAAATAAACTATCGAATAACAATTATGTACTACTTACAACAAAACGCACGCACGAAGTACTATGTACGATTATTAGGATTGGATACAACCACTGGCACTCAGGGGTGCCATCTTCCCGGAGCCACAGCCGGGCCTGATCACCCTCGACTCCACAGCACCCAGACTAGCCATCCTCGACTCCACAGCACCCAGACTAGCCATCCTCGACACGCAACACCCAGCCCAGTCGACCCCGCAACACCCAGACTAGCCATCCCAACACCCAGACTAGTCATCCTCGACTACGCAACACCCAGCCTAGTCACCCCCTCAAACGAGTCAATCAGTCATCTCCAACAGCATCCTCAAACCTCCCAAACACAATCGCCGAAAGAACCGGGACTTCATACGTCGCCAATAGCGTCTAGGTGGAGAGAGGGTTCATGTCAGTATCAGAGGTTTCAAGTCAGGCATCTCATCAAAAAGAGGAAAGAGAGCAACGCGGTTTCTTATCACCACGAACAGCTTGGGTAACCCAACAAAGGTCCCAATAGAGGGGTCGAAGTATGTACGGTAATTGTAAACCAAGACCACAACAAAAGAAATGAAGAACGGTAATAAAGGGCGTCACGAAGGAACTGACGGCGAACGAACTGATGAAAAAGAGAAAAGAGAACCGGAATCCAAGAAAGGGGGAAAGAAGACGACGAATCAAGACACAACTCACATCAACAAACTCATTAGGAACACCTCTCAACGCCAACTGACTCCACCTCGCAAGACCAGGAAGGAGACCAGCAAGACGTATCCGTACTTCTTCCATCCCGCTGTCTCCCATCCCTTCCACCTCCTTGCCCTTCCCTTTCGTATCCCCCTCCCGTTCCTCGCCCTTCCCTTTCTCCACCTCCTTCCCTTTCCCTTTCCCTTTCTCCACCTCCTTCCCTTTCCCTTTTTCATCCTGCTCCTTCCCACTCGGCCCTGAAGCCACCCCCGAAGCCACCCCAACCCCCGCACCCACCCCGTCCCTAAAAACATTCCTCCCCAACCCATCAAACAACACATCCACACCCCTCTCCAAACAAACCTCCAACACCCTCCCAAAATCCGCTCCTTGGATCGTACGACGCGTCTCGGCGATGAGAGAGAGGAAGGAGGGGTCGGAGGTGATGTGTGGGTAGGGGTCGATCGTGGGTCTTGATTTGTGCGCGTAGTGGGCGTCCATCGTAGGTGGGTAGTGCGAGTGGGAGGCGGCGATGGATGGGTGGTGAGGGCCTATCGTATTCGTGTTTTGGAGTTGGAGAGGTTTGGAGGGGTCGTGTGACGGGTGAGGCAGACGCGACTGCGACTGCGACAACGACCCAGACCGCGCATCCAAAATCCTAATCTCATCCTCATTATCCAGGTTATCATTCTCCGCGTCCCCATGCCCATTCGGATAATTCCCAAAAGGATCAATCCTCCCCTCATACCCATGACCCTCTCCTCTCCCCCCATGATGATGACTCGTAAAAAACTGCGAATTCGAAAGCTGCGAAGACGACAACGAAGTAGACGTCGCATCGCTCAGACGAGTCGTCCTCGAATTGGCGCGCGTGCTACTCGCTAGAGGGTCTGCATCGTGATCGTGGTCGTCGGGGTTGCTGTTACTGTTGTCACCAGCGTGTTGTTGGGCCTTGACAGGGACAGCCGGGGCATCGGAAGGAGCGTACGGATCCAACTGGAACGGCGGCTGAGGAACAGCCTGTGGAGGTGGCGTGAATCCTCCCTGCACAAGCGCGTGGTGAATCGTTTCGGTCGTCGATGGGAGGAGCGAGGAGAGGAAGCTATGGGCCGCAAAGACAATGGTCGGCAAGAGCGACGACAATCAACGAACACACGGCAAGAGCAACAGTCAGCATCCATCCACTTGGCCCAACAAAGGACAAGAAACAGATACGCACTCAACACGCCTCTCAACACCTTCAAACGTAACTTCATACTCAACCCGCCTTCTCACATCTTGGATGAGTCGATGCAAATCCATTTGGGAGAGTTTAGTTTTGAGGGAGACGCTGGAATGCAAGGACGTTAGCATCGGGTACCAGAGACAGTGAGAGAGTGCAAATGGTGCTTCCAGATCGTCAAACGAAGTCACAAGAGCCGACGACCACCAACCACAGCACCACACCAAACGCAACAACGCGAACGAAGCAAAGGCGAACGACAGACGCACCCATCAAACACCTCCTCCACACCCCTCCTCACCCTCTCACCCACATCCTTACACCCAACATGCAACAACCACCAACTAAGCGTCAAAAACTTGTTCTCCGTCTCCTCCGAAACACGCGCTCGATCTTCCACCTCTCCCGATATCGCCTTTTCCAAATCCATCTCCCCCGAACCACGGTCAAACATCCCTCCCCTCTCGCTCAACACAGCATCCACAGCCGGACCCAACCCCATCTTCTCACCCAAACTCCTAATCTTATCCTCCACGCCCAAACCCTCCCACAGCACGTTGGTAATACTAAACTGCTCCTCCAACCGCACGCGCATCTCTTCGTCGGCGAGCTGGGTGTAGAGTGCGGAAAGATATTTTTGGCGGGCGAGGAGGGTGAGTTGGAGGGAGGTGAGCAGGGTGAGGAGGGTTAGTGAGTAGAGGGTTGTTAGCGTCCTTGTTAGAGCTATTGAGGAGGAGGGCGTAGAGGGTTAGGGTTGTGTGATAGAAGGAGAGAAGAGGAAGGAGGCGCACTGAGTATCTTTACTTCATTCCACAACTCGACTTTACTCCTTTTATCCTCTTTGCTCTCGCCCTCCGAAGTATTAGTCGTAGTCGTAGCACTCGAGATGAGCGACGACGTCATACTCTCGCTCTACACACAGCCTTATCAGAATCCAACTGACAAAAGGTTACAACAGGAAGACGCACTAGACCTTGAGACTGCACCACGGGTGCGGGAGGAGGGACAGGCGACATAGCAGATGACGAAGCCAGGCTATCGATGGACACGGACATCAACGACGGCGAGCTCGACCCCTTCTGCTCCTGCCCCTCCCTTGTAGACGCAAGCGACACAACCGAGTCCTCCAAACTCCTCGCCTCGTCCTCCCGAACCACCCCGATACTCGACGCGATACTCGGCGATTTGGGTTCCTGTGATTGTTGTGGTTGTGCCGGGGCTGGAGCTGAAGCTGGAGGAGAGATGGAAGCTGGTAGGGCATTGGCGGTAGCTCGCAAAGCTTTCGATTTGGCGGAACGAGACTGCAGTTCCTTGGTCAGACTCTCGACGTCCATCTCGGATAGGATCTGGTCGGCCAGTTCGGGGAGCAGCGCGAGGATCGTGTACGACGTCGTGTGTGTCGTCTGTGCGAAGCGGCGTTTCAAACTATTGACCAACCAGGGTTAGATTCAATTTCGGTATATAGAGTTGGGTGTAGGGAATGGAATGCTCGGGTCACGGAAAGGTACGAGGAAAAGAAGGAAAAGAAGACTCACTTCTCCCTAGCCAACCTCTCACTCTCCAATTTCTCTTTAGCCTCTTCGAGTCGATCCCGCAAGAAGATGTGGGCCATGTACATCCCACCCATGAACCCTGCCGTTTTGGAAACCGTCTTGCGGGACGGGAGGAACGAGGAGAGAGGCATTATGCTTGTCACTTGCTGGTTTGTTCGTTCGACCCTGGTTGTTGAGTATTGAATGGTGGGTAGTGTCTGTCTATGAAGACCGAATTTCGAGCATAAGCCAGTTAAAGAAATAATACCAACTACGAAAAAGGACGATGGACGTACCACGAAACCTTCGACACCTGTAATTCCGGGCGTCTCGCTCCCGTTCACGCTCACGTCAAGTGTTCCCCCTTCTACAAATTCGGCTCTTCTAGGCGTTGTTGGTGTTCAGTTCAGGAAACTTTCCCTTACGAGACTGTCAGAGGTAGGAATAGCAGAGACGAAACGATGAAAACAGGGTTGGACGTTGGCGTTGAAACGGTACACGGCTAACGAGCGCAAACACATGCCTCGGCCCTCAATTCACCCCTCCGGCTATGTCGGCGCGTGGGAATCCATAAGCAATATGTATCCCCAGGATTCAGGAATGGCTTTGGTGCAAGGACGGGGTTAGGGTTCCGACGGCAGGCGCTTAACTTTGAATTTGAACGCTCACACCTCTCCGAGTATTTGGACTCATCGAGATCAGAGTTGCACGTGGTCGACTCGAAGAGTTGGTTGGTGTCGTCGATGAAGTTGACGATACGACAGAGCGGGGTGTGATAGATATGGAATCGTCTTCGGATCGATGTTTTGTTAGGGCTCGAGATTTAGGGACATTAATCATGAAGCCATTCATAGTCGATCAGATAAAAATTGTGAGGGCGGACTACTTTATACATTCGTAACGGGTATCTAAGAGCTTGAGGTAGAGGGGTGTCCCTGTTTCCAAATATCGGGAGAAGGCAAATCTTTCTTGATGAGTTCAAGGGTCTGATCGGAAACAGGAGTACCTAGGCGCATGACACCTGACCATTGTGAGTGATGGAAGTTGGCCTCTATGGCTTTAGGAGGGGTCTCCGGCATCGTGCCCAAAGCTGCCTCTATCGTGAAGTAGTGTCTTTGACCAAGTAGTGCGAGTTTCGATGTAAGGGCGAGAGCGACACGGACGTCCTTGGTGCTGTAGACCCTCTGCTTCCCCAGCTTATCGCAGAGAGAATTGAGTCGCTGAATTGTCTCCTCGGCGGTCAACTGGCTCTCCTGACGACCACACCGACGGAAAAGCCTAGCAAGGGTCTGGCCAGAGTTTTTCGTCGCCTTCTTCCTTTTCTGCTTGGTGTCTGCTTCATCATCGGCAACGTCACCGACATCGTCGTCGTCTCCCGACTCTTCGTTAGACTTTGCCTTCGATCCCGATTCCTCTCGCTTCGATTGCATTTTGTCCGTTTCAAAAGGCTCGAAAAGGGAATCAGTGTCCGACTCATCTGCATCCTCCTCCTCCGACGAGGGAAGCGACACCTCCTCCACCCTCCGCGCGTGGTCGTATGATTCCTTGTTGAAGCGACGTAGAAAGTCTTCTCTATAGACCACCCTCCATGTCCACCAATCACCACATCCCGCAATCAACAACACCCGGTTTTGAGTCGCAAATCTGGGGGAAGAGAATAGACAATGTGCTTGGTCGTAAGCCTGAGCCTGGGCTTTTCCAAGCTTTGCAGCGAGGTCGCGAAGGAACACCAAAATGGTAAGGGCGCTCCGGGTCGCTTGTCGCTTCAGCTCGGTGAGCACAGGAACGAGGACGATGGTGATGGACGCCTTGGTAAAATGATCTGCCGGAGGGGTGACTGTCCTCGAGGGGCGCTGTTCCCATTTGAACTGGAGAAGGAGAGTGCAAAAGTCGACGACAACACCTCGAGCAGTGCTATCGGGAATGGTCTCCTTCGACACGTTTGGGTCTAGGGCACCGTCGAGCCCCTCTAGCACATCTGAAATATCTGCGCCGTATGAACCTTCTCCGAGACCAGGAACCTTCTTCTTTCCACGTTTCCGGCGCCTGCCTCCACCACTCTTGTAGATTAGGAACTGGGGAGTGGCGAAAAGTCGTGTTTGGCCCTTGGTCAAATCATAGAAGACGTCAGCCCACAGTGCGTGGGAGACATCTTCGGTGCCGCGGGGGTTGAAGTTGTAGGATGAGGAGAGGAGACATGCGAGGAAGAGGCGAAAGTGGGGCTCGTTGATGTCTGCCATGGTTGCGAAAAAGCCTTGCAAGTTTTTGTTCTAAAACTTGTCGACCTTTTATATGGCTTCAAGGGCCCCTGATGTCACTCTTTCAATAATGTGGTTGCGAAGTAGTCTTGAGGAGTCCTCGGTGAATCCGAAGCGACAGTATCATTGCAAAGGAACTTCCCAAGAGAGATACAACGGTGCTTCGAAGAAATACAATGAGTCTTCGAGAATACAATGACATTTCTACTGATAAACAAACATAGAGACGGAGACTATGAGTTGGTGCGCACTCGTGACCACAGACATGTCTGCGGGGTGAATCACAACAAAGGGACGTCCAAAGTCACGGTCAAAAGCACAATGGGGTTTCAAAAATACAATGCAGTTTCTACCGGAGAATACAAACAGGCGCAGAGCCGATGGGTTGGTACGTACTCGTGAACACAGATGTCATGAGATACAATAACGAAGGGAAACAAAGGTTTCTAAGGAGCGATCTCCCGAGTTCCGATTCGGGTTGGTCAGACTTCACGTGATGTGAAGTTCGCGTGCCACAGTCGGAGTCTCAGTTGGTTGGCATTTATATTTAACGTTGACGTTCACCTCAACGACCACCTTTCGTGCAAGCCACCTATTTCCCTCCTACCGGTCTCTCACCTACACAATGACTAAAAAGAACCTATCTGAACGCGCTAAACGCTCGCCGCGATATCTGTACACAACCTACCGCACTGAGTACGTAGACCATTAACCTTTCCCCTAATTGTATCGCCTCTAACCACTGAATAGGTGTGAAGAAGCGTTTCCGGCCACTTTTGAATTTACGGATGAAAGGACCAAGTACGGTCTTCCCGTGAAGCCTCTTTATAAGCCGGATATTGGCGTGACAATCCCCGTTCCGATGTATTATGCCGGCTTCGTTGTCTCTGGCCAGTGGCTTTCCAATTGGAACTACCGTCACCGTTGCAGCGGCAGGGATACTATCGCCGCAGCGGCGGTTGTCCAGTGGAGAAAGATGGACAAGCCGTGAGTACTCCTGCGCCCTCAATGTCACCCTCGAGTACTTACTGCTGCTTGGCATGTTCGTTCCACCTCACCGCAATTTCTAGAACGCCCCTTCTCACACCCCGAGTGCATCCCTGGCCTACTGGCGATTCCGTGATCTACTTCGTGTCCCACCCAGCAGACCGAAAAGAACTCAAGTACCTTTACGACCATCGGGACACCGTTCTTGAAGCCTTCCTCGAGGTCATCGACTTTTCCCCGGAGGAGAAAGATATAATCAGAACAAAGCTGTTTAAATGGCATAGGCTTATGCCTACAACGATTTCAGAGTTGGACCTCGACGAACCTTTACCGGTGGATAAGTGTTTACAATACACAGGGCCTGAACCCCAGTTCGAGTCTGACTCCGAGTACGAATCTGGCTCCGAGTACGAGTCTGACTCCGGGTGAGACTGAGAGTCGGCGTGGCGTGCCAGAGTAAGAGGTAGCGGAAGTTAGCTCGATAGTATATTATGTGTATTACTGCGATTGCCAATGGATCCCATTTGAATGTTGGTGAAAGCCTAGGGTAACTACGATATCCCCTCGATTGTTATGCAGCGCATGGAGGCTGGTGGGCGGATAGGTCAATTAGCGAAGATTCAGACCTTTCCCGGCGCAGTAAGCGCCCAGCGCTCGAGCTTGATCATTGACGAGTGACCATATAGTCTGCTTTTTGTATAGTGGCTTGCTACACCTCTCTTACTACACCTATATGCTTGTCGCCACCGCCAGGTACATCAGGCACATCGCTAGCTTCAAGGTTCAGTGTTAACTCCTGATTCTCGGACCTTGCAAAAGTGATGTCCCTCGTGAATGATGGACCGAAGCTCTCCGGGCGCTTAGCCCACGATCGCCCAGTTGCAACTCTAAAAATGATGAGATGCGGTGACAAGGACTGAAAGAAGGATTCTGTTAGGATTCACCGTGCCGTCGATCCAACGACCAGTGGCCACACCCCTTTGTGCGGGGAGCGGTGGCATCCAGGACAATGGTCCTTTATCTTTCACATACTTATATACCGAGAGCCGTAGTGTACAGAACCTCAGTCGTTACATCCCCGACTGAGGTGAGCCACATCCCGACCAATTAGCATATTTATTAATACTGACTATACCTAGTATTTACCTTACTTACAGGAGAATAGGTATAGTCGTTACATCCCCGACTGAGTATTTACCTTACTTACAGGAGAATAGGATTCGGTTTCAACAGGTTATGAGCCAATAGAAACCCGGATACCAACATCCTACCATTGCAACATCCCTTTCAGACAACCGAAAGGGCAAATTTCTTGGCACCTCGATGTCCTCCACACCACCACCCATCGACGACAACACCGACGAGACCAAACCAACCACTAACACCATCAGGGATTTCGAGACATTCCGATAATTGATTATAAATAGGAAACCTAGTTGGCCATGCTGGCAGCGGTCCGTTCCCCAATCCCATAATGGCAATTCGGAGTGGCAAGTATCGGACTGGTATCAGATGGACCGGGCTCCCAGAATGTCAGATAAGGGCAGAACAGGATGTATGGGAAGCCTCGGCTACCGCTCTTGTAGCGCCGGAGATGAAGCGCCAGAATGGCAGCACAGAACCGCGATAATCAGACTGGCATCACACTTGCCGGTACATCAGAATGATAGGGTGGGATACATCAGGATATATGGGAAGCGCCGACTGCCACCCTGACAGCGCCGGAGATGAAGCGTCGGAATGGCAGCTCCGAACCGCGATAAATCAGACTGGCATCGCACTTGCCGGGCCAACAGAGTGATAGGCTTGGGATACATCAGGATAGTTGGGAAACATCCGCTGCCAGGCTGGCAACCCCGCAATTGACGAGTCAGGGTGGCGGTTGGGAGCGGTGAAGGTCGGACAGGCATCACAAGGACCAGTCTCTCGGAATGATAGGCAGGGGTACATCAGGATAGTCAGGTAGCATCGACTACCAGCCTGGTAGCACAGGCCTGAATGCCTTCTCCAGGTTCCCTCCGCCAAATACTACGATCTCCAATCGATTGGGATTCTTACTGTCCTTGGGACCAGGCGTCGGTGGTTCGTCCGACAGAGGGGGTGCTTCAATCACTGAAGGTCATTAATCATAGTCAAGGACAATGTCCAAATCATTTAAATTCCATAAACTGGTTTCAAACTAGCAAATCTAGTCTCGAAGTCCATAGGATGCAAGCTCGTCCAATTCGTCGATAGCCATGTACGCGTCGTCAGCGGTAGAGCTCGCTACGGACGCGACATCATCGTCGTCGTCTTCGTCCCGGACCATTGCCTTGTCCATAGCGACGACTTCCTTTGGAGCTATGGATTTGATCCTTTCGTTCTCCAAGGCAATGGTCGTCGGGTCCAATCTAGCATATCGGTGTCCAACGGCGTGTCCCCACCAATACCTCATGAACATGTCTCGATCAGCGAATCTGCAGGGGTAGGGACTTAGAATGAACCAAGAAGAAGAACGGTAAAGGCCTACCGGTTGACGTAGTACGAATTCCAATCGTCCTCATCTCCTGCAAACTTCGAGGTACCGCCATGACCAGCGGGATACTTTGGGCCAATCGTAAACCTGGGGATTATGTGACAAGCGCGAATGACGTTGCTCGGACAGATGAAGGTGGTTGAATCAGGTTCTGTGAGTTCTTCAAATTCGAGACGGTCCATGTGGAAAGAGGTCTGCGGAGGAAGGTGCCTATACCACCGCACCCAGAGGAATTCGGTGGTTAAGGGAGGTTTGTCGGATACCAGGTGTGCGATGCTTGGGTCCACGAGCGATCTAAGGTCGAAATTGGCGTGGTAGATTCCAATGACCTTCCCGTACCGATAAGGATGACCGCCAGATCCGTGCTGATAATCCGGGTTGTGGACCATAATGTTGTGGTTGTCCGTTCCGAGGTGGATGAGATCCTCGTCTATTCTGGCGTCGTAGGTGGTATATTTGACGCGGAGCAGCTTGTGCGAATAGATTCGATTATCTGACACGGGGACTTGAAACCATTCGAGCGGGCGAAGAGCTCCGGGGGGAAGGCTGTCGTTCGGGAACAAGGCTGAGAGGTAGGCGGGGAGAGTCTCGCTGATCCGGTCACGCAAGAACGTCTTGAGCTTGAATATGAAGTTCTGTTATAGTCACCAGTCCTTAATGAGACAGACCATTCGAAACAGTGGGATTAGAAAGTAGCTTACATTGCAAACTGGATCATGGCGATACGCGCCGTTCTGCGCAAAGTTAGACAGAGGATGCAACGCGTTCTCTGAAGCGCCGATATAGTAGCTAAGGTGGGGCAATCGGGCTGCTGCCATATGCCCGGTTAGGTCGGCTGCTAATTTCCTATCTTTAGCCAGCCTGCTTCGAAGTTGCTTCATTCGAGCTCGACGCCGTTCCATCCGCGTTAGCTGTTTCATTACACGACGCTTGTTGGTTCGACGATACCATGCTTTGGGTGATCGATGGAGGAGTTCGCCCTGCATTTAGGGTATGGTATTAGCTCAGACGCAAAGCCAGGGCTACTCGCACGACTCACCAATTCCGTAGAATAAGCGTCGCATGGTCCAAACAACCTTATCATACCAGGGTAATCCGCAAGGGAGTGAAACTTGACGGTATTCAGGTTGAATGTCTTCAGATTTTTCTTTCCTTTCCTTGCTTGCGCGATTGGGCCATTGGACGTCTGTTGAGAAACGCGTTACTTATCACCCTACACCTCGAATTAGGGAAAAGATCACCTCAGTCTGGAATCCCTCTTCGTTTCCGGGATCGGTGAGCACGTTCCCGGCATCGATTCCAATCGCTTTGGACCCCTTTCGACCTTTCCCCACACCCTTCCCAGCCTCCACCACTCCTTCCACGCGTTCAACCTCCTTCCCCTTCCCCTTTCCTGTCCTCTTTTCGCTTCCCGCTGCTCTATTGTTACCGGCCTTCTTCAACGCGGTCTTGCCCTGACCTCTCGTTGTACTCGCGTTTTTGCTTGTTGAAGTGGATCCTCCCTCATTTCTATCGTCGGTAACCTTGTTGGACGATGAAGCGGGGGCGGAGGTGTTTACATTGGAGGTGATGGGGGTATCGGTTGAGGTGGTCGTGGTGTTCGTCACGGCACCGATGTTCTGGGACTGGGCTCGCGTCATCGATCGAGTGACTCGAGGCTCGAAACTGGTACGAGCCTTCTTCGCAGTGACAGGGCCTCCATGGTCGGCGGCCCTGCGTTTTCCGCCTGTTCTTTGCGGCTGTTCTTCAGGAGGAGATGGAGCGACATTGGTATTCTGGAGCGGAATCGGTGGTGTGGGATCAATGTCCATGGATGGATCTTGGGGGGGTGTTACTATAATTGCTGGGAGGTGACTGTCAGCGTCGTGGGGCGAGAGAGTTGGGGACGGTGGGCCCGTGGGCGTGCCCGCGTAGGGTGTTGATGTCGGTAGATCCAGGGCGTCAACGTCGTCCTTGTCCTCGACTTCCTTGGCAACTCTTTTCTTCAGACGTTTGAGGCGTGCTTCCGTCTCGTGAGGAAGCTCGTAGGTCCGGACTTTGGAGCAAACCTCATTCATAAAGACACGGAACTGGTTACCAAGTGCTGTCGTTGTTTCTTCAAGCATGGATACTGTGACCTCGGTGTGCATCCGCAACTTAGCAAGGGCGTGCCACTGGCAACATAGAAAGAGGAGTTTGCTGATACAATCAGAGAACTGCAGTGGAAAGAGAGTTTCGAAAACTGGGATTGAGCACTATAGGCAGCGAAAAGTCAGGTTTCGCGTTCGAAAGCTACGAGGAACCAACTCACCTGAAGAACGTCCTCGAAATCTCGGGCTGCTCTCCTTGCCATGTTCGAGGTATTCTTAGAAAATCGACGAATGGTGTTTCCAAAAATAGGCACAGACCGAAACCTGTGATGGAAGATATAGATTGTGCTTGGGCGGTGGAGGGAGAACGTACCGGCGGTCGAGTTCGTGGACGTACATCGATCCTTGTCCAAGGGAATCCAACAGGCGAATCAGATGGTTGAAAAGTTGCTTCCAAACCCCAATCTCGAACTCGTGGAGGAGGTCGACCACTAACGCCGAACCAATGTCGAATCCAGAACGATGCAGTTTACTGATGAATGCATTCTTTGGCAGTTGGTTAGAACAAAAACTAGCCAGTCCGCTTGAAATGAAGTGCCCACCTTGGTGGGAGCTAGACCATGGAACTCCCCCATGATATCGCGATGCATTTTATCGCCATACGCTGAGACACCCTTCTCATAAATAGCCTTCCTTGCTTCCACAATACCCGCATAGGCCCTCTCATCAAATCTCCGTGGGTTGGATCGACGGAAAGTCTTGTCCTCGACTGTTCCCATCTCGTGGAAGTTCTTGAGGGGTGTTAAGCAGCGAGGACAGGGACAATGACCTCTTCGAATTGACGCAATGAGAATCCTAGAGCATCGGCTTAGATGGTCGGGTTACTTGAGAATGGATTCGTAAACTCACTTTTCAGGGTAATCGGCCGAGTAGGTGAAAATCCGAATGTAAAATCGGCGCCTGATTCCGTCGCAACACGTGATGACGACCCCGTTCTCGATTGCATCGACCAATTCATCGTCCAAAATTAAAGACCACTGTTGATGGAATACTTCTCTATTCAGAAAGGTTATCAATCCAGGAGGGACAGGGCCTCTGGTTCTTCTCGAGATCAAGTCGTTGATTTCTTCGGGAAGCTGTGCGTCCACTGTGATCAGCCTTGAACTCGATTTCTGTGCAAGGTACTCACTGATTCGAAGTATGCAACGTGTTCGCATAGGTTGGAGGTTGGCTGTGAACGCCGATACTTGGATTCATTGCCAAAGCCCATATAGAGCGGCCAAACCTTGGACGTTCCGAAAGCCGTACAGTGCGTTTGATCAGACCAGAACATGAGCCCCACGACGACCCGCTCCAAGGAGCAGTCAGGATTCTTTGTGGGGTCTTGGATCTCTCGGTGGGCTTTGAGGAAGGCGTCAGAGTTGTAGACGTCGCTGAAGACTCGTGTTTCCGGTAGTTCAGGGTGGGGCTGCCAGAGCAGTTCGAAGGGTTCGTAGTGAAAGAGCCGGTCGCTGTCCTTGTTCGCTAGCTTCTCCTTCAGCGCTTCAACGATGCTCCGATGGTGCAAAGTCCCGACTTTGAAGGTTTCGATGCCTGGTTCCCTGGCGTGGCTGTTGAAGGGCACCTGTATTTCGATGGATGATGTTCGCCATCCGTCGTCATCGATCCAGTCCCCTTCTCCATCAGGTACTTCCTCCTTGTTGGAACCGAGTTGGGTATTCACTTTCTTCCACTTGACATTGTTGAGATCGCCAGCGAGGAACGTGGTGCTGGTGAGGCGGCTGACCAAGTCTTTGAAATCCTTCTCCGACTTCTCAGTGTTCTGGCTCCAATACCAATCACCAATGTTGAAGGAGGACTCGTTAGGGTAAGGGCCAAACGGTTGACTGGATCTGGGAGCGTCGTCAGTCTCGTCGCCCTCGGTCGTGAGTACTTGAGCAAAATTGTTGGCGTCATATCGATCCATGAGGGTAGCATGGGCGTCCGGATCGTGTGTGGGGGGCTCTGAGTATAAGAACCGCTTCTTCAATCCAAACTCGTCGGGAGCGGTGGTGAAGTTAGGCCCGTTGGCATAGAGGCGTCTCCGAGAGGGTTGCAAGGGTGGCTCAGGTTCGTCGATGATTGGAGCTGGAGACGAACACGGTCAAATTGGGCTTCTGCGTAGAGAATCGAAAGCTTACGGGTCTCTTCTTCTGGCAGGGGAACCGCGACGTGCACTTCAAAAGAAATGTTCAAAGATACCCCAAGCGTGACGAACGTGGTACTCACCTGTGGCTTCCCCACTGACCGACGAGGTGTGGGCCTGGGTAGGGTCGGTGAACTCTGTAGAATTTGCTGATAGATTCGTGCGCATCTCTGCGACCTTCTGGTCCCAGTACTTCTTCGCGCGTTCGAGGATACCGGCAGTCTGCTTTCTGACGGCAGTGCATTTGTTCTTGTGTCGCTTGAGGGCATACTTCGAGACGAAGGGTTCGCTTCTGCATATACAAGCACTTAAGTCACCCAGAATTCATATAGCTTAGGTACCAAAACTCCCTCAATTCCTGGGCCTAAAGGCCCCCCTTCTTTCCCGTTCTGGGAACCGTTCCACCTTCCGCGTTCCTGCTTTTCTCCTTCTTTCTTCCTGCTTTTCCTGTTCTTCCTTCTGCACAGTTCTGCATAATTGTGTTCTCTTCCTGATTGATGGGCCATCTGATGGAGTGATCTGACCGTCACGTCACAGGGTGTCCGGGGTCCTAGTAGGAACTCCAGGAACACACTTTTGGCTAGCATGCTGGGCCCCTCTGACCTCGTTCCCCAACCTCTGGAGGTCATTCACTCCTCCTTTATCTACTGTAAGCACGTATCTACTCCAGGATCTATCCAACACAGCATAAATGCAATTCTTGAATACTGTTCAATGTTTGCAATAGACTTAAAGCACCATGTACCAGTACAGTGAACTTTCAAGTTTCTAGTGAAAAGCAAGGGTATGGGAGACCCTATGGGTCTTGGATGAGGGTAGCGGCGGATACAGGTACACATTGCTTATGGATCCACTTTGCGAACTGTAACTGTATAGGCCACTTCCTAGATACTTTTGTGTATGTTGAGATGAACACTTGTAGTCTATCACTGCATTTTGCTTGTCCCTTGTGGAGGCCATTGGACTTCTGGTAGTACTCTAGCAAAGGCAACCAGTACTACTTTCATGCTAAGGAAACACCCAACAGTAAAACAACAGTGTTTGCAGATAGTATAAATAAGGAACTCTAGGAATTCTCCCTATTCCTGGGTCTGATTAGTGGGAGTTCTTGGTTCTCAGAACAAGGAACTGGTGGGAATTCCCTGCAATTCCTGGTTCCTGGAAGAGGATATATTTATGTTCCCGTTCCTGTTCAGTTCTTCGTTCTTCCCCGTTCTTCTTTGTTCTCAGAACAAGAGTTCTTCGTTCTTCCCCGTTCTTGTTCTTCTTGTTCTCAGAACGGGAAACACACTTCCGTCCGATGTAATTCCTTGTTCTCAGAGTTGAAAATGAATGGCATTTAGACTATTTAAAGATCATCCTCTAACGGCCGTGCTCTTTTGCGGGGTGAGCCTGTAATAGTAGCAGAAGGGCCACCCTCATACCCAACACCAAAGATCTCCTGCTCCGGATCCTTATCCTCACCCAAGTACAGTTCACCTGAATACACCTCATCCACAACCTCCAAGAGATCTCCCTCACCCTCACTCCTAATCTCCCAATCATCATCACCATCGTCGTAATCGCTGTCTAACCACTGTGAGCTGCCTGCTGACGTACTGGAGAGGAATGAGATTTCGGTTGATGCTCGTGCAAGTGCCCGGTTACGAAGTTCGCTCTCTGTGGGACCCCAACCACCTTCGGCTACCCCAGGAATGTCGACAAGGGCGTTACTCCACACACGAATGCAATCGAGAAGTCGATTCTGCCTCCCCTGGTACTCGAAAAGAAGGTCAGCATTCTGTTGATTCCCCAGACCGGATACAAGAGCATTCCAGGACGAATGACTCCACGCTTGGAGGTGTTGGGCTTCTGCCACAATGCGAAGTGACTCCTCGCTGCAGCGTTGGGACATCAGCAACGCACGGATTCCGGAGATTGTATCTTCATCAGCAAGCCACGCCGGAGGCTCCGCACCATCGTTGCTATGGTCATCGTCCAAGCCACGTGTGTCCCAAATGGGATCGTCGACGTCGAGCGAGAAGAGGGTGTCTCGGTCGATTCGACGTGGCGCAATGGCACCTCGGGGAGCCCTTCTCTGGGCGATCAGAGTCTCCATGTCCGAACAAATGGTGTTATAGCGAGAGACTAGCTTGATAATATTTGGCTGGTGCCTCGCGACTTGAGCCTGAATGTGCGCCTGCAACTTGTTGTCTAAATTGCAAGCAGGTTATCGCAAATGCCACACGAATAGGAGATCAGACTTACCACTCGAGGCTGGATTGCGGGCCGCCTTGTCGAGTCGCTCCAACTCGAACTTGCGAGCTCGAAGCTTCGCTTGAATTCGCTCTTTTAGGGCTGCTGCATTCAATCGGAGAGACAAAAACTTGCTGTTGACGAGTCTTTTCAAGTTCTGCTGGTCTTCAACACCCAGACGTCGGCGGTGGTTGGCAATGGTATCTTCGGTCTGGGCTAATTTTGCGGCAAGATCTAATGAAAGTGCCGTCAGGTCGTCGATGTCCATGTCGGGCGTCGCCTTGAGGACGGTCAGTTGGCGATTGACTTTGTCGAGCTCGGCTTTGTATCCGTCGCGAAGCGTTGTCAGACCAAGGATTTCTTTGATGACTCGCTTTGCTGGCGCCTTCGACACGTTTGCGAGAGGCGCTGTCTGCACGCGTATCTGCTCTTGCCACTGGCGTTCCAACATTGCACCCGTAAGCTTTGTTTTCTTCAACGCCTCCTCGCTTTCCCTCGAGCGTGCCTGGCACTGTACCCATTTCCTCCGCAACCAATCCCCTACACCCTCCAGCGACTTCTCGTCCAGGTAAGCCACTTGCGCGTCGATAGCAAACAGCCGTTGGTGGTACTAGAAAGCCGTCAGTACAATCTACAGAGGTTTAAAGGTAAACCCACCCCTGATACGCGCAAGGCAGGGATCAAAATCTTTATCGCTGCCCAAAATCGTTCACACCCTTCCCCGTCCGACAACCCAAACCCCTCTCGTTTACGTGGATGGTAAACCAGTTGACACGGCCACTGATGACCGTACGCGTGAAATACCGAGACACTCCACTGGATTCGGTCCTGATAGTCGGCCAGAAACCCCCATTTGACACAGCTACGATGCAACTGGCAGGCGATATCGTACAGGACGCCGACTGTCATGTCCTCCGGGATGTTGTCGAACAGCTTCTGAAGCAAAGCGATGGCGTAGTACTGTCGTTCACCGCCGCTGGTCATGTTCACCAACCACAGCACTCTATCGTGGCGGCATAGCAAGCCCATCAGCCCAGTATCTGAGAAGAGGCGGGTGCTTGCCTTCATCCGCTTCTCATCTGCGGCTGCAAACGATTGGTTGCATCCGTCCAACACTGAATTTGGGATCTTCATCCCTGGTTCCAGCTGGTCAGGTCGGTCGTTTTTCTCTACGTCGTTTCCACCCCTCCCACTGGGCGGTCTGAGACGATTCACGTATGCTTCGGCTGTCTTCACCTCATCCCGAGTCAAGAATACTGACGACGGGTGCGTTAAGGGCGGTCCTCGATCTTCTCCCCGGGCAGGAGCTCTCCTCTTCTGTGTAAAGTTAGCGTCCAGGCAGACGATGGCTTCAACCCTATGCCAACGTTGTGAGATACACATTTCCTTTGCGAACTAAACGACAACTCACGAAAAATTACGACACAGTCGGTCCTTATTAAAACATAGTGGGCATCGATCCTGGAGGTACTGGCTAGGTGAGTCCAAAGCCTCCTTCTCAACGAAGGTACGGCCGCCCCGCTGGTCGTCGCTTTCCTCATCAACCTCATCGACCCAGCCCTCTTCGTCATCCGTCAAGTTCTCTTCAACACCCGCAGATTGCAATCTCTGAATAACGTCGCCTTCCAGTTCCTGCTGCCAACGACCTTCCTCTAGCAGAAAGGTCTTCACAACAACTTCTTTCTGCGCCACCATGAACCCGAACCACTTCATCGCCATGGCCATCTTGCGCCGAATTACGTCTTGACCTTGGAAGTTAAACCCTTGGACTTTGAGCATGGCTTCCAGAGCACCCGACCACGCTGAAAGGTTGAGGGGAGAGCGCGCGTAAAGTTCTTGTATGAACCTCAGCATTCGGATATCGACTGCGAACGAGGGGCGGACCGGTGCCGAGGGGAAGAGTCCCAGCTGGACAAGGAGTGTAACAGGAGAGCAGGAGCATATGTTGATCTCCCTGATACCTATGGCCATGTCAATAACGGCATTCACAAACGAACAGGAGTACTTACTGTCCTGGAACACGCAAACAACTCGGAGACGATGGACAGTCGGCATACAGTCGCATTTGGCCTCCAAGTTCGAACAATTTCTCAAGTTGTCGGTGACGCGCAGAAGCTTCAGGTACTGGGGTATAGCTTGAGGAATGGCCACGAGAATCCAGCGATCGTTCTGAAGCGTGTATCTTGATTCACGTTTATGCGGTGATACCGATTTACGAGGTGAAGTGGTCGCCGTTCGGGTGGGAGATGATAATGGCTCGCGCCGTTTGGATGTTTTCTGTGCGTAGTCACCAGATGGTGCTGCCACGTCGACCAAGGGAGTAAGTTTGAACCTCGCTAGCCCATACCCGGCGCGCTTTCTAGGGCTGACTTTGGCAAGTGGGCGGGGCATTGTCTAGAAAGGGAGAGCGTCAGTGTATGATACGTGATAATGGAATGTCTGTAAAATAAATCAATGCAGTTGACCTGTCCTGGCAAGGGGAATCGATGGAAGATGGGAGGGAAGGGAAGCCCACGTGTAAAATAAATCAATGCAGTTGATCTGTCCTGACAAGGGGAATCGATGGAAGACGGGAGGGAAAGGCAAAGCGAACGGTAGCCACGAACGCCGATACGGCGGACTTAAGAGATTGTTGTCACTCTGACCGATGCGAGAGAGCGGAAAAACGTCGGTATTTGAAGGTTAATGCTACAAAAAAGGGGAAACAAAAGATACTAGAGAAAATCAAATGAAAGTCGAATGACAAAAGAGATCTGATAGGGAGGGAGTGAGCTAAGTGATTTCCAGCCCATGAGTAGGGGAACTCTTACCACGACGATGGAATCACAGAGGTCTTCCCCACGAGCGAAATGGCATTCAAAGGAACAGGGTGTGTACGCTGAGTGGATGTAAGAGGTAGGCGCCGAGGAAGAATGGGTGCCCGTCCGAATTGGTCGAAGAAACGTTGACAGTAGGTGGAGGTGACGAGGGTCTCGAGCTTAGCGGTACTCGACTCGCAATAACCCAAGCGATAATTTCGAACTTCATCGCTGCACCCATCCCAATCCTTCATCAAGCGGAGCAGACCCATTGCTACCTCTCGACGAACACTCCAGTCCTGCGCCGCCCAACCTCTGTTCGTGTTCGGAATCACGCCAACCACGTAGCTTGGTGCAATGGAACCATCGGATTCTCGGGCGAAGCATTTACGTACGGCGATGTCCCGTTGTGCACGCTCCACCACGAGCTGTTCATCGCTGCCTTCAATCCACTTGTGAGGAGCCAAAGCCCTATCGAGGAAAAGAAGTTCAAGGCGGAAATTGGTTTCGTGGAGTTCCCACAAAACTTCTGCAAAGAAATTGGGGGTAAACATTTGGCGGCTGGCGGCAAGAGAGGTCATCGGGATGGTATAGTCACCCCAACAAATTGATGAAGTCGAAGTCGGCGTGGGCGGAGTTGCCGTCAACAGTTCGAGGAGAGAGTCGAAATGCGGGTTGGAGTCGCGGGAATCCTTGTTATTCCGTCGTCTCTTACCAGAACCCGGGGGCTTGGCAGTTGTCGAGGGCACGCCGGGTTGAGATGCATCAGGTGTGGGCGTCGGGCTGATCTCAAACAGATTGTGCTTGACCTTTAAGCCATAGAGGAAATTTCGCCAATGGAAAGCGGAAAGGTTTGGAGGGGGTTGCGCGCCGGTGATGTCTGTGGATTCGAGCAACCGATTGATGTGAATCGGTCGAGACATGAGCCATGCGAGGCAAACATGGAACCGGTCTTGCTGTTTCAAGAAGGCGAATGGGTCAGGTAGGCCAAATCCGAGACGATCTCCATCCTTCTTCTCGCGAGGTTTGTCGATATCCACCGTCGACAGCGCTTGTTGCCACGCATGGATCGCCGGTGGCCAGTAGTCGACGTTTACTTCACGGAAGCGATTCCTCTGCTCCGGCGACAACTTCGGCAGCAGTTTGGAACGGTCTGTTGGTACGGCGGTGGATGAAGATGGGCGGCTTCCTGAAGGCGTGTCTGTTAAAGAATAAGATACAGATTCGGTCAATGTGAGCTTAGGTGACTTACAAGGTGATGTACGGCAGGGTGGGTGTTGGCGGCGGTCAGCTCCTCCGTTGGTTGATTCAGGGGCGGCTTGCACTTCTGCTGCGGCTCTCCATCTCTCCTTTCCAAGCCATTCAGACGCTCCCATAGCGGAGCCGATGCGCAGGTCTGGTACGCGACACACGAGGCGGTGCATCGATTCGTACAGGTCTGTGGATGGCAGCCCTCTCGCGATAGTGTGGAAAGGATCGGGCTTGCCGCCGTTGTTGAAGTCCTCGAGAACGAGGCTGTGTGGTTTCATGGCTTGGCTCCCCTCGACCACGACGCTCATACGCCCGCTGCCTTCCTTCGGGATGGCGTGTGACGGACGCAGCAGCCAAACCGGTATCCCCATCCTATGGAGGTCGATGGACACCTGTGGGTCTTCGGTGAAGGCGCCCATCCTGTTCGCGTCGACTTCGGGCTGTGGAATAGAGCGATCGAGCAGGCGAGGGCGGAAAATTTGGTAGTAATCGATCCAGGCGTGGATGTCGAGGCAGGTGGCGAGGAATTCGGCCACAGTAAAGACGATTTCTTTGTAGGACATGGCGGTGTACTTCAGTTTATAGAGGACGGACAGCATTTGGACTCCAGTGCTGAAGGAATGACGCGCGATCGTGTTCTGTGACGCAATCGCGGACTTGGTGGATAATGCGCTGGTACGACATGAAAATGTTCAGATACTGTCCTCGAGTCTTCGCATATCGACCAGTTCGCCGTAGATGGAGATACATGGGCAATGGGAAGGTTCTGGCGTCCATCGAAGGTAGGGAAACCCTTCCACCTTCCTTGGGATGCAGCACGCCCAAACGAAACCATGGACGTAGTACTGGGGGTGCTGTGTCCTGTCGAGTTCTCCATATCGCCCATTCCTTCGGGCTCGGGCTTCGAGCGGTGGTTGAGGCAGAAAGGGGATGTAATACATGTTGGGGGTGGTAATAACCCAATAGAAGACCAGCGTGCGGCCATCCTCGTAGACCTTGACCTGGCCGACGCGAGTGAGGTATTCATCCTCCTTGACTGGCTTCTCTAGGACATGATAGACCACGGCGTCAGTCCCTATCCAGTCGGCTAAGCAAGCGGTTAGTGAGCGGAAGAGATACTCGGGGGATCAATCACTCACGTTCTCCATGCAGGGGGATGCGCCGATAGGGTGGATAGAAAGGTTTGGGGATGGGAGGCATCTGCAGACAATGGAGAAAAGATCAGTAACAATGAAAAAGAATCCCAAAACGGACGATACATCATCAAATCCGTATTCGAGAGGATTGGAACCACCGGGAGGACGATACTTCATCAAATCCTCTGGTGATTCCATCTTCCAACGAGCACGATACATCATCAAATGCTCGAGGGAAGGGAGAACAATAAAGTGTCAAAAGAAAGCGTACCCTGATATCTTATTCCTCGAGCGCGTATCTGTCGAGGTCGAGGGTTTTGAAAGCTGGAGGGAGATAATGAGAGAGCAAACTTGTCGAGATGATGGTATGACTCTGAGTACAGAGGTTGACGCGGCGCACTCGAGTCACCGCCGCCGCGCCGGAATCATTCTCCCACGATCCCGATCCCCAACTTCCAAATGATCTTCAATTGCCCCAGGACCCCTGAAAACCAGCTGAGAGGTCTTTTCCCAGCCAAAAATCTATATCCGGACTATTTTTTCGTGACCCCCCAGCGAGGGGTATCCGGACCCGGAAAAGACCTCGCGCCAAGCCTCAATCTATATCCGGACTTTGGAAAAGACCTCAAAAATCGCCAAAATCGTCGAAAATCGCCAAAAATAATGTATTTGGATGCTATAAAGCGTTTGGTCAATCATCGTCCTATTATACACTCGCACTATACAACCAAGCCTCAAAAGCTACCATTGCATTGGAGGAAGATGCATAAATATACCTTCTTACTTATCTGTAAAGTCGCCTATAGTCGCACTACTGCCATCTACACATACATCTACATAACTATAGAAAGTCAACGAACGCGATCGCCTACAACGTCATACATCATGGTTGTACATTGAAGAAACGAGGGAGAGTGCGATTAATGGCATCACGCCAGCCCAAATACGCCAAAACCTCTCCAAAAAGTGTTCCGAATGTGAATCGAACGTACCACCTGCATATGGTCTTGAAAGGAGTATATACAGCCTACACTACAGGCCCATCGCTAGGCGTCTTCGCATGGGTCGTAGGTGCCCAGTATCCGGACTTTGGAAAAGACCTCCTCTTGGCGGTGTCGATATCCGGACTTTTGCCAAAGACCTACTTTTCCCCGACCCCCCATCTATATCCGGACAAAAAAACACCTATCGTCTCAAGACCCCCCGCCTATATCCGGACTTTCAAAGACCTCTCAGTTGGTTTTCAGGGGTCCTATTGCCCCTCTCCCTCCAACCTTGTTTGTAGCCCTATCGTTATTCTAGCCGCCACCGAAGATTTCTTTCTTTCGTTCGACACCATGCACCACGCAGGCTTTCTTACCTCCAGAAGTCGGACCAGAGCCCTAGGATGAGAATCATCAGTTGAGTGCGCTTAAAATAGCCTGCAGGTGAGAATGTTTTAATCTTTTTGTTACCTCATTCTGTCCTCGTGGATCGTTTGTTCTTTTTCGTTGACACCACCACCGCTGGCCGCCTAGGACAAAATCGCCTGCTTTTCCAACGTTCGACGGGCGATTTGATGATGAATCGTCGCTCTCAAGCTGGGGTTTTGAACCGAACGTACAACTTGATAATGAATCGTTGTATGTCTTGGAATTTATTCTCCCATGGCTGGCCATTTGACGATGAGTCGTGGCTTGTAATAGCGCAAGCAGCCGGAGACTAGCCTCGAACACTCAGACCAGCCAGGTGCGTGTTATCTTGTTTCCGACCGAACAACCTTTCGTTCTAACCGCTAACCAAATGCTCAGGCCACCTACTCGCAGCAAACTACCAACACCGAAACTGGGAGACTGCGGGTATTGGAGGTAGGTTTCGAGTCGAGAGTCCATGTACGAGAACTTGACGGGTTACAGCCAACATCGAACCTTGGAGACTGCGCGTATTGGTCCTTGGTCGTCGCCCAAGCCATCCCCCGCTATTCGGCCTGTCGTTTGGGATTATACCAGGTGAGGGGCGATTTGATGAAGCATCGTCGCCTCTCTCCTTGCACGATTTGATAATGTATCGTCGTGCCTTTTGCTTCTCTTTTGCACGCGATTTGATGATGTATCGTCGCGCTTACCTTTTGGAACTTCCGTTTCACTGTCCTTTGTATCGTTGCGCGCTTACTGGTGGCCTTTTCATTTCATTATCCTTTGTATCGTTTACGCGCCTATCTTTTGGACCTTTCATCTATCATGCCTTTGCTCTTTCCTCCAATTATATACAGTTCGGTCGTGTCACAGACGGGGACTGGTTGGCTACCCGCACCCTGTTGCAACGGCTTGTGCCATGTAACAGCGGCGGGTAGTTGCGGCGACAGGCCTTGCTTACGCACCCGCACGCTGTTTCAACGTCTGAAGCCATGTAACAGTGGCGGTATATCGTTTGTCTCCTTCGAAGAGACCCGTTTCCCTAGACTCGGAATTGGGGTCGCACCGTGAACGTAGCTTGCTCTATGCCAGGGTAGCCATCATGTATGCGACTCCATCTGGTCCCTTTTTCTTTTCTTTAATTCTCCTTTATGTCTTTCTTGGGTCCTCGCTCGCGTCTTCTCCGACCGCGTTTTGGAGTGTAACCAAGTCTCTTTGAATAGTCGAACAGCGTATTCCTCAGGAACCTAACGTCGATTGGAGGTATTTTCAAGGTCTGCGATCATCCCGCGTACTGGGTACATATCCATTGGCCTCCTCGCATGGCTGTCGATACCAGCTGATTTATATACTTGCAGGACGTGATTGTAGCCTCCCAGAGAGGAAACCGGTTGCCCAATTGAGGACTCTGATGTTTGGTTTGATGTGCATCATTTCGTTAAAAGCTGAACTCCGCCTTTGTATGTGTTGGCAATCTGTGGTCTCACTCACTCACCTATACTCTGTTATACCAGAAAGTTACTACCCATGTCTGAACCCCCGCGGAGGACGACTCGTGCCATGAATCGTGCTTCCGCAAACCCCGAACCCAACGTCGCATTGCAAGACGCAAGCAGGGCTCCTGTGAGTCATACGTTCTCGATCTTCAATGAAGACCCTCCTCATAATCTGATTGCCAGGCCAAAGTTCGCAAACCCCGGCCTTCTCTTGTTCAGGCTGCTGCAAATAGAGCTAGCCAGTAAGTTTTTCTTTTTTTTTTCTCTCTATAATTCAACTTTCCACTCTGCGAGGTGGCCTGCATTTGATGATGTATCGTGCTGGCACTCTGCATGCACATTTGACGATGGGTCGTGCGCCTTTCTCTTGCTCTAGCAGCCTCTCTAACTCGCATTTGATGATGTATCGTGCGTGTTGAGTGGTTGTCGATGAGCAGAATGTTTTTCATTTCAATCTTCAGACATTGACAAATGGCTACTTTAGGAACGCCACTGCTCAGGCGTCCCAAAGTCGTCCAACGACCCCAACCCAGAGGGTTCAGCAGATGACGCGAAGCCGCTCAACTACTCCAAGCCGAAGGGTTGAGCCAGGACTGAGCTATGCCGCCGCCGCTGTGTCACCACCTCGCGCGCCGCCCCAACGCATGATACCATACGTCGAGTTGCCCACCATGGACTTGGTGATGAAGCGGAAGGCTGCCGCAGCGGCTCCGCAGGCCAAAGCTCCTCAAGTCCATGAGAAGGCAGGGGCTGGCAGCCAATCCCAGCTTCCCCCTGCTCCTGCAGCAACGTCGAGCTCAGCAGCCCAAGGTCCTGCTACCGTCACTTCCTTGGAAGCTCAGCAAGGTTCGACTGTACTGGCTTCCTTGGAAGCTCATCGAGAAACCCTCAGTATGTGAAACGCGTGTCATTCGATGGGAGTAAACTAATACTGGATGTCCAGGCGATGATTTCGAATTCGCACCATTTGTCAAGGTTCCCTACCAAGTCCACGCCCAAATGCCAGAGCCTCTCCCAGTTCCCGACTTCCCCCTATTGCTTCCCCAATCCACCTTGGACCTTTCCGCCGTCCGCGATCAATGGGTCTATGTGCAGTATGGTCGCCAGTTTGGCGGACGAGGCTACGCCAAACGTTCCCTGGTGAAGGTCTCGAAAGGAAATCAAGGTCGGAGCATCGCCGCGTTCGCCTGTACGATGATTTCGTGCTGGAACGCTTCCTGTCGCCGGTGGGAACAACTCCCTGAGGGATACGTCATCTCTGATATTCCCGAGAGGCTCACCTTCCCCGAGCTCGCTGAAGTCCTTGTCACTGCCCTGCGACAGGACGATAGCAAACCCACAACACAACCACGAACTCCGACGCCACCGATTTCTCCCCCCGGGTCCAGCATGGCAGTCGCAAAGGCGGCAGCAGAGGTTCAATTTCTGCAATCCAAGCTTCAACAGGCATGGCGTGCCAAACGCCGCGCCGAGTACGAGGAGCTTGAGACCAAGATAGCCCGCATCAACCAGATGCAAGCCGTCCAAGAGGAGCGTGAGCAGCAAGAGCTTGAGCGCAAGCACGAAGAGTTTATGAAGATTTATGGACCTCTTCCATCACCAGCCCCGTACTCGTCCGATGAAGAAGAACCCACGGAGCCAACAGAGCCAGCTTCACCCGCACAGGAAAATCAGGGCATCCCTTACCATGAGAATGCCATGGCCGTCCAAGGCGACACTTACGATGTTTTTGGCGGGGTACTCCAGTCAGAAACGACGGTCCAGCGCAATGATACCATTATTTGGGCTGACGACGCTGTTCGTGACGATATTGAAATGGAGGAAGCGAACCTCGAGGACGATGGGCGTGTAGAGGAGGGTGGAGGAGAGGAGGGTGGAGGAGAGGAGGGTGGAAGAGAGGAGGGTGGAGGAGGAGGAGGTGCTGCGGAGGAGGTGAAAGGGTGCGAAGGAGAATATGAGATGGCAGTTGACGATGAAGAAAGAGGGATGGATGGGGTGGAGGAGGAGTCAGCCCGCGGCAATCAAGCGAATGGAGGCTCTATCTATGAGTCGTCCGACTCTGGATCTAACTACTCTGACAACATCACTGGGAGGGATGGGCCATCGGGCGGCAAGAAGAAAACCCGTCGAAAGTCACAGTCCCGTCGTAGGAGTCGTGCCCAGTCACCAACCTCCGATACCGACGCTGCTTCTCGAATTCCAACCGAAGCCAAGGGCAAGGGGAAGGCGGTACCAGGAGAGGAGCCTGATTTCTTAGGGGAGTCAATCGACGAGTTAACTGAGCTCATCGTTGCCATGTCGGAGACCCACCAATGCAGTCCCGAGGAGATAGTTTGGCGACTCCCGTTCTTACCAAGGCCAATGCCCGACTTGAAAATATCAGCGCCGCGAGGCACAAATGATTGGAATACGTGGCTGCAGGTTACAAAGCTGGAGGCATTGAAAAAGAAACAGCCTAGTAAGCACTCAGTCCAGCCGACCTCTTGACGGTGTGTCCTGACCTTATCCTTTTCTTTAGGGAAATCCTCGGATGAACTCAAAGAAGAATACAAGAGGACTTTTGGGACGCTATCCGAAAAGGAGAAGGTCGAAAAGCGCGCAGAGTGGGCGAATATCCTTGCCACCGAAGCCCGATCGATGGAGGAGAAGCTAGTACGCCATAACGCGTCGTATATTGAAGATTTCCAGCATCTGGTGGGTAGATCCTGGTGTCAAATGCCGCACAATATCACTCAACAAACCCTACAGTCCCAGCGCGTTTCAGCAACTGGACTCGCCGAAACCATCACCTTCTATCTTGGAACTGACCCAGCACTCACTCGCCACTCCCGAATCATTCTTGGGAATGACCTCCTGAGAGACTACATCGAAAAAGAGGACGTCAGTGTCCGCGAATTTCTGAACTACCTGTCTACATCTTTGCAGTAAGTTGTTTCACGTCATAATATCTAGTGATACCCTAACGGGGCCCTCAGGTTCATCAAGAATAGCAAGTACACTGTGAGAAAGGAAGACATCCGACTGTTCAACTTCGCGCAGAGCACCACTGGTAGCGCCCAGTCATCGGATTCCCAACGCCGCCAAGCTCTCACTTCAGCCCCAGCAGCAGCCACGTCATCCAACTCTACCTCTGCAACATCTCAACAAACAACTACCCAGCCTGAAAGTCCATGGAAGAAGGGCATCCCAAAGTTCGAGTTCGACCCGGATCGACCACGACCAGCAACGGTGTCAGAGGAAGTGTGGAACATGGGCCCCGATAATCCAGCTTGGAGAACGCACATGGATTCCCTGCTTGGCGATGCCTTCCTCTACGGGGCGAGGTTCTGGTGCGTGAAGGCTGAAGCCAACGAGCAGCCGCAGGTGTGGAAGGTCCGAGTCTTCCGATTTTGGTTCAAATTCGTCCTTCGTAGGTGCCTCTGCATATCCCAAGAATATTTGTTGACCTCTAGTTTCCAGATTCAATTGGGTATCAATCTTCAAACTGGGTGAACGTCATCGACACGTTCACCGAACTCGAGATCCGAGTCCTGAATTGGCCGCTGCACTGGGGGATTCCGGGGAGGGACTTCAAAGATTGGAGACCAACTATCAGGGACGGGTTAGATGAAGTGTTGGAAATCATCTGCGGGGTGAGAGAGGGAGATCCCATACAGGTTGTGCCTTGGACTGAAGGTAAGCTTGACCATTTGAATCAAGGACTCATGTCGTTTCTAATGCTCTAATCAAGAGGAAAAGAACATTCACAAACATGTCAATAACGCCGACTACCTCGCTATCCCTGTGTGGATGTCCAGCAATGGCACTGTCATGGCGCAGGTCGCACATGCCACCAACTTGTGGCTTCCTATACTGTCGCGCAAGAATGCTGCGGAAGACCACCCCGATTTTCCATTGCAAAGGAGTCGAGCCATCATGAGGCCCAAGACGACAGCGTCCGGACAACCGACAACGAAGAAGCGTGGTGCCGAGCGTGCTGGGCCCTCCAGACAGCGGCGGCAAGTTCAGTCGCATACCGAGCGTCGCCTAGAAGAGGTTGCGGCGGGAGGTTCGAGGCCAAATGCTGACAACGACAGCCAGGATCACGATGAGCAACCCCCTCCTTACGTCGACGACTACGACTACAACTACGATTACCCCAACGGCTACGGGTACAACAGTCAGGAAGACGGCTACGACGATGGTCACGAGGACGGTTGCGAGGATGGTTACGACGGCGGTTGCGACGATCGCGACGATGGTTATGAGCGCACCAATTCTCACCGCCGTGATGAACGTGGTGGCCATCGTGGCGATGTTCCCCAACGCAATCGCCATGATACTTCGCCACAGGATCGAAGTGGTGGTCGCTATCAAGATCCCTGTCACGGCCAACGTCGCCCCACACCCCAACGTCTACCAGAACCTCCAACTCGCCAACGCATTGCACCTCCTCAAAGTCACCACCATAGGAAGGACCAACAACACCGCCAAACGACCCAAGTTACCCACCGTGGTTCCGAACTTCGCCGTGACAAGCGACTCGATCAACGTGGCAGCACCACCGACAATACTGCCGACATTGTCAGGGGCCTCATGGGGATTGCATCTCCCCCTCCCCCTCCTCCCACTCGAAAGATCGTAGCTGATATCCGTGAACTTCAACGTTCAGGTGGGCGTCGTTTTGCCTCCGAGTCGGCCACCGCCCACCAACAATCCCCATCTTGTCCAGGACCCTCGTACCGACGTGGCGACATTGTGCACAACAGGCCACCTCATCGCAATAGCATTCCCGCCTCCCGCCAGTCCGTGGCTTCTGAAGCAAGAGGCCCAAATCGCCAGAGGGTAGTTCCCCGCGAGCGTGCTCATTCCGCATTTGATGATTCTGAGGGAGATCATCGTCGAAAACGGCGCCGCGTGGCTGAGGGGAATTGAGTACTTTACTGGGCAGTGATAATTCTAAAGCTTGATAGGTCTTGTGTTGCTTTTGATTGATGGTTTACTTGAGTAGATGGCTTCGATTCATAGTTAACATTAGTAGATAGCTTAGTGAAATCATATCTTTAGACTTTGTGTTGGACATCAGGGCAGAGTGTAAGTTGCCACTTTGGGGAAGGGGGTAAAACTATTTCACAAATTTCGACTTCCGGAATGCGTAATTTCTACTTCAGGGAATGAGGAAGACGGAAGAAGTACATCTAGATTGGGAAAAATATGCCATTCTTCTCCCTTCTTGCCCAGTTCTCGCTAGTTCCGGGAACGAGGAAGGGGATTTGCCAGTGTAATTCTTGTCTTCCTGGTTCTGGGAATTGGAAGAAAACAAAGTTCCTTGTTCCCAGAACTGGAAAGAACAAAGTTCCTTGTTCCCAGAACTGGAAAGAACAAAGTTCCTTGTTCCCAGAACTGGAAAGAACAAAGTTCCTTGCTCCCAGAACTGGAAAGAACAAGAGGGTAGCCATGTGCTTCCCCGTTCCCTGTTCCTGGAACTAGGAAGCATGGGAACAGGAACTTGTTCTTTCAACTTCCTCCTGTTCCCATTCTTTCTAGTTCCAGGAACAGGGAAGAACAAGAGGGATCCTATGTGCTTCCTCGTTCCCCGCCACCGGGAACAGGAAGGAACAAGGTTCTTATCTCCCCTTCCTTGTTCCGGGAACAGGGAAGAGGATATTGAGTGGTTCATTATCCTCTTCTGCATTCCAGGAATGAGGAAAAACTAGTTCCCAGGAATGAGGAAGAGGATATTGGGTGGTGGATTATCCTGTTCCTCGTTCTGGGGAACTGGGAAAGACCTTGTTCATGGAATAAGGAAGTGGATATTAGGGGGGGGGGTCAGAGCTGCGGTTCTGCGGCGGTTCTGACCCCACTTCTGTAAACAGATCTGGTGGTTAAAAAAACAGGGAAGAACTGAGAACCGAACCAAGAGAACCACCTCTGGGTGAGAACTGTTCCCGCATGTTTTGGGTTCTGAGCACTCTGGAGAGTGTGTTGGTGCTTGCAATAAGGGAATCTATTTAAAATTTGGAATATATACTCTTTGGCCTGTGTACTGATTGTCTGTGTATTTTGGAAACAGATAGAACAGAGAAAGTGGTTGAATTGACATCTCGTATGTAGTGATGGACAGGGGTTACCCCTGGGTTGCAGAGTGACTACCCTTACCCCCACCCCCGGAAACCCCTACCCCTCGTGAGGGGTAGGGGTTTCCGGGGTTTCTCTTCCAGGGGTAAGGGTTTTTAGGGGTGGGGGTTTACACCAAGGGTTGGGGTAGTTGAGAGATGATTAGAATATGAATTAGTGTGCTTAGAATACAAACTATGTGTCTATACAGTATACTAAGCTATAAGAACTATGTCAAATGATAAATCAAGGTCAATAACTGTACTGTTGTCCTCTGGCTGGCGTGCAACTGCATCTAAGTCACTATCATGCATAAGTCCCATGCGGCTCCATGCTCCAAAGCACATCAACACTTCGGGCAAACCCGCCAAAACCCCTGGCGGGGGTAAGGGTTTTGGGAGGGTCGGTATGTAGTGACCCTTACCCCCACCCCCAGGTACCCTTACCCCCCTAACCCGGGGGTTCTTAAAACCCTTGTCCATCACTACTCGTATGAATACCAAAGTGAGAAACCAAGTCTTAAAAATTTTCGGAGAACCAAACCCTGAACCAAAAAAGTGGGGGTGTTCAGAGCAGAACCACATTTCCATGATTCTGCCAGAACCATTGTAGAACTGCAGCTTTCAATAGACCAGCTTTAGCTATGGTGGAAGCAGCCATTGAGCTTTAAATGCTATGCATTATAGCTGTGTTTCACATTTTAACTAGGGCAGATAAGTGATAGGGGTAAGTGTACAGCAGGGAAAGGTGTTGCGGAACAGCGCAGGAGCAGTGAAAGGCAGCAGTGGTGGTCTGGCAAGCTATGCGGATGCGTGTTCCTGGAGTTCCTACTAGGACCCCGGACACCCTGTGACGTGACGGTCAGATCACTCCATCAGATGGCCCATCAATCAGGAAGAGAACACAATTATGCAGAACTGTGCAGAAGGAAGAACAGGAAAAGCAGGAAGAAAGAAGGAGAAAAGCAGGAACGCGGAAGGTGGAACGGTTCCCAGAACGGGAAAGAAGGGGGGCCTTTAGGCCCAGGAATTGAGGGAGTTTTGGTACCTAAGCTATATGAATTCTGGGTGACTTAAGTGATACAAGTGAGTTGAGGCTGAGAGGAGACGGAAGAAGTGGCGAGCGTGACGGGGTTCATTGTTGTGGTTTGGAGGCAATGGTGACAAGGCGCAGTTCGATGAGAAGGCGAGGGGATATCCACGGTCGGCCAGTTGGTGAACCCACAGACTCGACCGCACAACTACTTATTCAACAATGCAGTAGCTGAATCGGTGGAGCTGAAACGGTTCGACCCCTTTCGAGATGTTTCGTTTCATGGAACGAACACAGCCCCGAAGCTCGACAACTGTTACACTTGTGACCTATTAGCCGAGTGGATCGTCTTGACACTGCGGAAATGTTTGGCGTACCAGTGAAGCCTCCACGCGCACAGAACAAGAACTCCCCATTTTTCGGCGTGTATGCAGCTGTCTATACATGAATTCGTTCAAGATGATGAGGACTCGGAGTCATGGTGAAGGGTTAAGCTCGAACGCGGAACAAAAAAGCTTCTTCCGAACAGTGACTACTGATCGCTAATCACCTCGTCCTCTCCAACCTGTCAGACTTCGATGTTTCATCGTCTTCAAGTTGAACAGCATTCCGAAACAATGATGATGAGAGATTCGCAGTACACAAACTTTGTACTTTAAAAGTGGTACCTCATGACCTCCCTCGTCACCCACCAGTCCCATTGACTATCCTCTTTCAGTCATTGCTTTCTCAGCCATTCTTCCCTATGCCCAAAGCAGCCTCCGATGCCACTACGCGCACTCCTAGCTCTCTCTCCCTCCTGTTTGCTCCTCACAGAACGCCGACAAGCGCCTTGGAAGGCCCAACTTATGACGGAAGTGACCGTGGCACCTTCCCGTGCACCCGGCTATCCTCGGATTGTCGCTCCAGGAAGACGCGAGGTTTCAAGCTTCATATCTCAATCGACGCTTCGAAAAGGAGGAGCCACTCCAAGCCCAAGGCCAGTGGCACCAGTAGACCCGCTATCTCTCCCTGTACGTGCCCATGTATGCAACCGCTTCGACAGTTGGACTGACTTGCCTGCACTGTAGTACGCATAGTGCAGAGTGGTACTAGTCCGATTGTGGAAAAGCCCAAGACCCCTGCCCACCGTCCTCCGCAGCTACACGCTGCTTCGAGCTATAGCTTCACCTGCGGCGTACCAACTCCCGATTCCGAAGTTGGATTTTCCAGCCAGGTGATCGCAAGAACCGGGTGTACTCCTGCCCACATCCATTCCTCAAGTTGCGAGGATTCCGTGGAACATCGAGTCCAAACCGCTCTTCATCGCCTGGAGGTCCTGACATCGCGCTATAGGAACTCGGTCTCAGAGCTAGAGTCGGACATTGCGCTTCTCAGGGACGAGATCGCCAGCATCGATGAGTCCTTTCGCAAGGAAAAGGAGTTAGTGGACGCGTTGCCAGATGAAGAATTCGCAAAGCAATACGGACTGGGGGTTACTCGACAAGAATGGTTGTTTACTGCAGGAGGGCACGGACAGGGTGGATTTTTCAACTTTTAATATGATAGCTTCTAGTAGCACCTATATTATTACATTACCTCCAACAAACAATCGTCGTCTTCAGTTTTGATCTACCACTAGCGTGAACGAGGCGAAAGCCAAAATCCGCAAACGGACTATTTATGGGGGCAAAACAGTATATTGGGAGTGGTAATTAAGATGGTTTAATCAAATGGGCAAAAGTAAGGGAAGCTCGAGCATCGTAAGGACAGCGAGGAAGAAAAGGAACGTCAATAGCGAGGCAATCGTCAGTTCCCGTGCGACTGGCATTGCGCTTTGATTCGCCTATACAACCTCTGGTCGCAGAGGTCGCACCCGCCCTCGTAGCCGCAAGGTACCTGGCAAATGCGACAGATTCCAGACAGGCAGAGAGGACAGCGGGCGGACGGAACGTGGCCGATGGAGTGAGAGTTGTAGCGAGCGTCGACAGTTGAGGGTACGAAATCTTGATATATGTTGAACGGTATGATGTGAGGTCTATCGCCAGCGCCTTGTTTCGCCTTCTTCGATTTTTTACGACTGAACCACCGATCCCGCTCCGAAGAGCTTGATTGAGACGAGCTTCCGGCCGACTGAATGACACGGCTACGTCAGAAAAGAGATGTGGAGTGATAACGAGCGACACGTACCATGTATTCCTGTACACACCGATGGGTGACTTCCTCGACAGCCTTGTGAGCTGCCGTTTGTGCGACTTGCTTCAATTCTTTCTCGACTTCCAAGCTGAGGACGGCTCGAGTCAGTTGGTTGTAATCAATAGCCACAGGAATGGGCTGGGCCTGCGCTGCTGGGATGGAGTCAGTATCGAGGACGGGATCGAGAAGTCAGACCTACGTATGGGTTGAGGAGGTGGAGCATTCGAATGGTGGAAGGATGTACTATCCCCTCCATAGTTCCCTCTGAAAGTGTACGCTGGAGGAAGCGTATTGAAACGGGATTGACCACCTAATGTAACTGGGATCGACAGTTGGGAGCGAGGTGTCGACGGCGTCGCAAAAGGAGTGTGGTTGGCTGCCACGTTGTAGCCAGACCCTCGACTTGTGCTTCTTTGGGTAACCCGTCCATCTGGCGTTGCTTGAAACCTTGAACTCTGCGCCACCTGAGGGCTGAACCCTTCCAGGACAGGCTCAGTGTTGGGTAACTGAGCAATACTCCCCGGTAGAAAAAACTAAGAGCGATGGTAGTTCAGATTCAACGTGAACAAAACGATGAAGGAAGGAGAAGGCGATACCTTGGTATATCCGTCTAGGACCTCGGGAACAAGGGATAGGTCAAGGCCATACCGTTCAAAATCCATGAACGGGGGAGGAGGGGATTCCATGTTGGCCCGGGAGGGGGAGGTGCGACGGGAGGGCAGGCCACACGAAACAGGCGAGCTTGGTGTTGGGTGACGGTAAGGGACAACCTGTGTTGTGTTGGAGTATTTATCGACTAAGCCTTCGAGGGATGTTTCCGAATTCCCGTCCGTCTCTGATTCCGGTAACCTGGGCTTGATGGGACTTACATTCAATTAAAATATGATTTGGACTGCCTGGACGTCGCGCTTACAGAACCCTCCTCCGTAATGACTAGAGACGTGCCAATTGGGAAGCAGAAACACGACATAAGGTTTGATCCTAGGAGCGAAAGGGAGCGTGACAAACGTCCAGTCTTGGGTCGTGAATGCTCGCCGCAGCTAGAAGCCCTGTCAAAGAACAAATGTTGCAGAGCGGCACACGCACACAATGGACCCACATGCAGCCCACAGCGGGATTTACAGCTGACCGTCGATGGATGAGCTTGAAGAGGCGAATTTCAGACTTCCAGTAGGCCTTCAGAATGTAGAGCCCCCCAGGCGACATGAGATCACAGGAAGGAAGCGTGGACTGACCAGGAGAGCTGCACGATCCAGTACAAGAGGAGGCGCCCGGGGCCGCCGCTGCCCCTGTCACGTTTTCATAATCAATTGGCCAAAGCTTCCGATCATTTTAGGCTGATTCCCGTATGACATGAAGGGCTCGTGACTCCTGAGGGAGTATCGAGACAGTCTTCTCTTCCTTGCTCAATCCGTGCACCTAATTATTCGTCTGCTATGTCCGGTTTCGAACTCCTATACTTACCATTGCAATGGGGTACTTGAGTAACGCAGAAGGGATTGCAACCGAGGAGCCACCTGCTCCGATAACGGACATCAAATGATTCCTGAATTCAGAAATGGCTGTTGCTGATTTTGACAGCGTGGTTAAAAGCGTGCGGTTCAATTGAACTATCCCGAAGTTGATACCCAGGGGTACTCCAGGCCAACCTCGCATTTTAACCCACCCCTTCCTCGAACCATCCCTTGCTCCGTGGCCCGTCCACCATGACAGCAATATTCCCCTCCAGCGCATCGAGCGTGTCCAGCCTCTCCTTCGCCCATGGCAACCCCTCTCGTTCCCACCAGCGCATACTCGCCACATCCCCGAACGACTCGAGCGATTCTTCTGACGCAGAGGTTTGTTTATCACTTTTCGTTCAAGAAACTAATTGGCATTAATTCCATTGTTCCCAGAGCTCACCTTTGAACGTCTGGATCCCCAGGGTCCACGCCCCTGGCAGTACTTTTGTCCCCACCAAGCAACGCAAACCCTTCGCTCGCCCAGGAATCCCGAAAGACCTGCTCCGTGAGGAATTTGTGGACGGACTCCACGTCCAACAGCGTCTCGAGGCCTCTCGTGAGCTCCCTGTCACGCCTACCCCACCCAGTCGCCGTTCCGCTCGCGGTCCCTTCCTCATGCCTTCTCAAGATCGACCGAGAGCGCCGCTTGTCCCAGCCACGACGCCTGAAACCAACACTAGGTCCCCTGCACCGTCCGAAAGGAGCAGTCCCAAATCTCTACGCGACAAGGCTGTCCGGAAGCACTCGAGCCGCAAACCGAAGTCAGCCGAATCCCTAGTCACCTCCAACTTGGCCGACTTGGATGCGGACATCTCAGCAGATGAAGAGTCGCTTGCTATGGAGAAAGCGGGGCCCATCGAGATCTTCTTAGAGCACGCCGGGGAGGGCAGGAAATTGATCACCGATATTCACCTTGTCCGCGCGATAGTGCAGCAGTGGAACATCCTCAACCACAGGCACCACAGTCAACCCGATGACGATGAAACCCGATCTAAGCTCGAGAAGTCGGAATGGAATATCCTCACTCTTAAATGTGTTTTAATTGAGCTTCGACGGCCCGTCGCTCTGGCCCTTCTTGGACGTTTCCTGACCAACGCCGGTGAGTACTTCAGTGAATTTTCGCGCAACTGGTCTCACTCATTTGCTTACTCCTAGGGTTGGATGGAATGACGTGCCCGCGCTGCTCATCCGCTGGGGCCGTTACTCATACAATCTAGTCAACCGGGTTGTACAATTATGCTTTTGCTATTCGATTATTGACTTTCCCGTATCGTATACTCCTCCACTTCCCATATACATTTTGGCTTTGTGTCTCAGATGGCATGTAGCACTGTGAAAATGAGTATCCGAGCCAGGTTTACCTGATCCCTACTTTGAATTTGTGAGCAACCTGGGCAAGGGGAAGAGGCTACTTTCTCAACAGTCCGGCGGGCAACACGCGTAGGCCTGGGAGTCTTAGTATCAAAGTTCAAGAAGAGCCCTCAAGTTTGACATTGGCCGCGTGTGATGATCTTTCGGTGTATTAGAATTTACAAGTAGGCTAGGGTTATAACACAGGTTGGAGTAACGCGGGGTGGGTTATGAAAACGTAAGGATCGAGCACGGTTTTATAGTAGCAAGGGAGCTAACAGTATGTCCTAATTCTCTTTTCCACCTGCAGAACTCGTATTGTTGCCTGAAGTACCAGCCATCGTTGTACGGTTAGAATTCTGATTCGTCTTCTCTGCGAGCGCTTTCCTTTTCTTCGCCTCTCTTTGGTTCTTGGCCAACATAACGATGGAAGGTATTTGGGGGATGGTGGAAATGTCTCTAACGGCAGCCGCCTCTTCAGGGTGGTGACGCGGGAACACTTGTCTGAGGGGCGCGAAGTTCAATCTTCAGTAACTCGCTACAAATTCGATAGAAAACGGCACGAACCCATTCCACCACTTCAGAAGTTCTTCGACGTCTTCCTGTTCCTCTTCAAGCCCGAAGAAATTCATTATGCTTGCGTAAAAGGTTTCCGACTCGGTCGCAACCTCCTGCTTCGACAGGGTGGTGTTGGAGGAAAGGGCGAAGCGTACCTGACAGGGTAAAAAGATATCCATAAATTGAAGTGAAATCAGAACTAACTGTGGTGGACTGACCTGCGTTGCGATGTACGCAATCGACCCTCTCGTTACCTTCTTCATGCCATTGAGGTGTGCATTGCATGAGCGGGTGGCTTTAGTGGCCTGGTCAACCGAGCTCGGGGACGTAAATGTGTGTTTGAAGGCCTTAGTAGGTGATGCAATCCGTTAGCATGAGCTCCAAGGGATAATTCCATGGGATCACTTACCGAAACAAGGATATTGCTACGGAAGAGGCCCTCCCACACATCCTCTGGATTGAACTTATAGTCCCTATAAACAAACATAGGCCAATGGTCGCCGGGTACGGTCAGTCCACCAGCCAGAGATTTTCGCGTCCTAGAATGATCACGACATTAGCGCCGGAAAATGTGGATAAGTAGCGTCTTACGTACTCTTCATCTTCCCAGTCAAGTAGGGCGGGGCAAAGGAGCTTTCCCGTCCAATAGTGGTTGAAACCGCGTTCGGCCTTTCCGTTGCGAGGTATGGGTGGTGTCAATGCAACTCCCCTGGGAGTAATCCAGTCAAGAACGTTCGTTTTCAGCGATTTGGTATCATCGGCGCGGGCTCCTTGAGCGCCCTTAGTGAGCTGAACGGGATACTAAGTAGAAGGTTCGACGCAGTCGATGGGATTCCCTTACCAAAGATGCAACATGGGCTAAATCTTCTGGTGTACTGCTGTTACAGAGGCTTGCTTCCAGGGTTGACATCAAAGCCAGAAGCTGGCCATAAATTTCGTGTTCTCTCCTAGTCCTACAGCCTCTCTGTCAATACGAAATCAATGACAGTCGTTGTCGAGTACTCACTTTCGGGTGTCTTCGTTTGGTGTACCATCTGGGTTGAATTCGGGTCCAAAGACAACGTCATCCGGCACGCCATTTTTCGTCGCTGCGTTGCGATCCATGGCTTCTCGGATGAGTTCGTGGATATCGCAAAAGGCTTGAACCGTCCTCGTGAAATGTCTTCCAACCCTGACCAACGGGTGAGTTCTCCTAGAGTCACGCGGGCGATTCAGTATGAGATAAGAATGAAGCCAGTGGACTTACGTCGCCTTCTTGGCAGGAATAGCGCTTAGAATGTCGTGCTCTCTCGGTCTTTTCTGGCCTATAATCTGGCCGGGCACCTCCAGTTGATTCGAAGTGCTTTGTCCAGTAGTGGTTTGCGCAATCTGGGGAGTGATCTGCGAAGGGGAGGCGGACATTGTTAGAACTTAACCGGTAGGAGAGGGATATAGATTGAGAAAGGTGGTGAGCTGAGGTCGAAATCGGTGAACGATGAAGGTTGGACGGTGAATGTGTCCTTCCTGGTTTCAGCCTTCCACTTTATATAGGTGGGTCGGACTTGTGCGAATGGTGAAGCTCGAGGAGCCAGAGTGTGCCACGTAGATTCAAGTGCTACATACCAAGTTCGCGTTTCAATTTCGAAGTCATAAATTAGACGCTCAGGGTGGTAGAAACTTCAAGTTGATCCTGCCTGAAACATGGTCGACGGTGTGTGCACTTGTGTGTATTGATTGGTGACTATGGATCACCGATCAAAGCAGTCAAAATATTAGCATCGCCACCGCCGATAAGTGTTTGCTGGCACGGCGCCGCGAGCCACGATGATCATCCCACCCGCGTTCATTCGAAGCTCTACAATTTGCATTCAAAGGTTAGAGAGCCTCTGACTGTTTACTCTGTAGGTGAACCAAAACGCGTATCCCCACTTTCCGCACCAATTTGGTTTTTTTAAACGCGCTTAGTTCGGTTGGCTGTGCGCCACTTGATGTCTGTGTGCGACCCCCGCCCCCGCCTGGACCCTGAACGCCCCAAGGCTCGCTTGTAGCAGAGCTAAGCATAGTAGCTCCGAGTCGCTTGGAGACGGTAATTCAGCCTCTAGGCGCAAAGTTGCTTCAAGTTGATCATGGCAATTCCGAGTCGAAACAAGTTTCGACTCTCGTCTTGGATCACCTTGGCTCGAGCTCTGCGTCTCAACTCATTGCCACCTCCGTGGTGCAGTCAAAACAATGTTGTGCTGGACAGGATCTCTTTTGCTCAAATAAAAGGTATGTGTGACATGTAACCATCTTAGCACCCCACCGAACTTTACCAACCGACACCTCTACTTAGCCACCATGTCTTCCCAACCCACTGGATTCTACATGAATGCCCCACCGACTGGCCAGGCACTACAGTCTGAGAAGCGACCCAACGCTGCCTTCGCCGACTCTGCACGCCAGCACACTGAGCCTCCCAGAACGCCGTCGAGATCCAACCGCTCCCGCACCTTAGCGGTGACTTTCCGCCTTTCAGAAGGATGTCCGCACAGCGAGCCATTGGTATGCCCCTCTGTGATTTGATCATTCCTTTGCTCATATTATGGCTTTCAAATATCAGGACCTTCATTTTTCGATCGCCCTTCCCTCTTCTCCGAATTGCCTGCACCCTGAGGCGTTCGGAGAAAGCTGCCAGCCTGCAGCCAGCCCGACCAAGTCCATTGCCGCGCCGGTGTCAAGCCCTGCTATACTACGTCAGCGCCCAGCTTCGGCGACTCGTTCAATGGCAGTCAACTGTGGCACGACTTCTCGAGAAGCACGACCTGGGCGATCGGGCATTATGGCAAGAGATTTACCATCGTCGCCATCGCCGCCTCCCAGCTCCAGCAGAGCCGGCGGGCCTTCACACGGCCTTCAGCCCATTGTACCCTTACCTTCCGATGCGTCCAGAGCTAACTCAGACAGCCGCTCCATGCGCAGGTCACGGTCTAGGGGACCTAGTATCCTTCTCGCCGTCCCAGCAGTATCGATGGACAAAGGTGTCACTCGTGGCGTTTCCTGGAAATCAACGGAGTTGTTATCCGTTGCGGAGGAGGCCGTTGGTACGAAGGCGAGCAGTGCATTGCGAGTTGCATCTCACCCTCGCTCCGGACCTTCGACACATCACGGGGGAAAGGGGGTTGCTCCCAAAGACGCTATCCATGGCTCTCGGGACGAGGATGCGGCTTCGGTTACGGAGGACTCTTCGGAGGAGGACGACAACTCGGTGAGGATTGTTTACTATTTCATATTTTCCTCAGTATGGGGCTCATTCTCGCTGTCAGTCAAAGACTCCTCATCCTCGGACCTCTATCGTGGTACGAAGCTTTCAAGGTTACCGCACTGACTTGCGCCGAGTAAGTACCCTGAAAACCCGTTTCTCTCCCTCACATGAACTCAGTTCTTTCCTACAGGCTTCTCATGAGAAGAACCAGAACGACGACGACACCTCCGTCACAGAGAACTCTTCAGACGAGGATGACTCTCAGGTAAGTCGATTTGATAGCTTGGTCGACGTGATACTCATTCTAGTTGATCATAGTTCAAGCCTGCAGCTCAACCTCGGACATTCATCGCGGAGCGAGGCTTCCAGGGCCGCCGATCTGAGGTACGAGGATCTGAATTCCTTAATTCTAATCGGTCTGAAATTTTCTTTTCCTCAGGCACTCCCTCTTAAGAGGGAGCAGGATGACGACGCTGCTTCGGTCACAGAGAACTCTTCGGACGAGGATGTTGAGGTTAGTTCTCTTCCCCTGTACCGCTCTACCGACGAGCCAATGCTCATCTTAGCCTGCTAGGTAATGCTGCAACGACCTAAAACCACTGCGAAACGGAAGCTTCAGACAAACCGCCCCGAGATTAATGAAGTACGTTACCATTTCTTTGTATTTCTGCGATACTTGTGTTAAAAGGCCTCTCCTTCTAGATGTCGGCTTCTGGGAGGAAAAGGTTGCGCACTTCCGATTAGACAGTCGCACTATCATCATTGTTGTAATAGCTCGATATAATAACTGTCTCTTGAACAGTGATTCTTCCTTCAACCCCATGACTCGATTAAGAGCCAATGATGCTCGGTTGGTTCGACAATGAACGTTATATTGGCATTCTTCTAATTTCCGTAAAATTCTACTACAGTCAATCATAACTTTAGAAAAGGGAATAGAAAACCGCCAGAAACCGTTCAGAAAAGCGGCAAAAGCGTGGTTTCCTACTGAATCCTTCGGATCGATCGGGGACTCTTGGGGATTCCGCTGATGTCAGTAGGTTTCATCCAATTACCTTAGGAATTCTTGACCCGTTCTCACTGGGAATGAACTTCCGTGTTAACGATGTCCGTTGATATCCAGTTCGCATTTTCCTGTACTGTAATAGTATGAATGTCACTTCAATGCACTAAAGGTATCGTCATTTCAAGTAAGGCATATCTTCATAATGATAGAATAGCTGCATCTATTCTAAACAGGAATGTACTAGATGACGATGGTTTCCTTGGGCGATGGAGGTCCTATACGGATGGCCTCGAGATACTCGCCAGGGTATCAATCAACTTCCGGGTAGTCGCCAACTCGGACGATAGCAGGCTTTTCAGTTCTAAAATCTTCATTTCTTTCTCCCCCAGACGAGCCGTGAGGTTGCTGATGCGAGCTTCGCACTCCTCGAGCATCCTGGCCTGGCAATTCAACGAGGCAAGGAGCTCCGCATTCTCCTTCCTTTGGACGCGCAATTCCCGAAGAAGGTGGCATATACGAGAGGATGAATCATCTTGTTTCTGGTAGGCCGTCCCGCTGCTGTCGTCGTCGTCGTCGGAACAGGGACACGACACCAAGCCTCGTCGGACTTCAGCTTCCTCCTCCGCTGCAAACACAAGATCCATGAGTTTGTTATCATACGAAGTGATCAGTTTCTACTACCCACCGACAAGGACGTGGGAGAAGGCGTCTAAATGTTTGGAACCGACTCCTCTCTTCGCTTCCTTGGTTGCTCTGCTGGTAGTAGCAGGGCCCAAGTTCTGACGAATGTTCCAGGTGTTCGAGGTCGACATGGGCTTAGATGTGGTAGGCGGAAGGATGGCCACGTTAGGCTGGCTGTACTGAAGAGCTCGCTGACACGTCGTCCCATTTTTAAACGACTTTCGACAAGTCGCAACACTACTATTCGTGAAGCGTGAAACGCGTTGCAGTATGATCAAGATTCACGTTTCGGAGCTCGAGGCGATGTGATCCGCGCCTTGTCAGCGGCAATTTTGGCCGGGTGCAATAGTTTATGTTGAACGTTCCTGGTTTTTCTCTTCATCACTCCTCACTCAGGCTTGCCTCCAGCGATCGATGGCAATCTCAACCGGCAGGTAACTCATAGCATCATCTCGAAGCCAGTCTTGAAGCTGACGGAATTGCGGTTTCCGACAGCACACTCAGTGACACGGGAACGTTCAAAGTTCGGCTAGCATATGAAACACATTGGAGAAGGCGATGACGATTCTGAAGCTAATCAACTTAGTATGTGGACGTATGTATGTCTCTCAGCACCGCCGAGAAGCGTCAAACATGGCCGACGCGTCTATCTCAAACCCATTTGGCTCATCGGCAGCCTTTAAAGCCCATGCAGTCTGACATCGAGACGCCAGCAAATTCCCCACTCCTCGTCCTTCCATTGTCTAACCTGACCCGAATCCTCTTGAACTTTATCGCTGCCCAAATGGCTACCCAATATCTCCCTTCTATCGAGTGCAGAGATGCGCGTCTCTGCGACTTGTTGAAGCGCGTTGCGGAGAATCACGAGATCGACCATGGCACTGTCCAAGGCATCACACATTACAACCCCGGAACGGGAGAAGTCGATTTCTGGTTCTGGTAAGTGAGCAATTGGGCTACTGCTTTCTTGGCCCTAATTCCCTTTATCCTCCAGGCCACTTGATAAGAAGGGTGTTCGTATTCCTCCCGACCACCTGTCAGAAGAACACATGTTACTGCTTTTCGACGGACCCTGCTGCTTTTGCGCCTATCTAGATGGCTCGTGTCGCGAAGAGCGAACACTAAACCAAACCAAAGACCAGTAATGCGGAGCAGATAAGAGCGGCGAGTAAGATAAGAGCGATGAGCGACGAATGCAGATGAAGGCGGAAGCGATGTATTGACGAAGAGGTCAAGCTGAGGAAATACAGAGCAGACTACCTAGCTTATATACCTATTCTACAGTCTACATAGCCGCGATGAGTCAAAATGACAAACAAATGGCGAAACGTCGAAGAACAATAAGAAGGGTCATGAGGCTGCGCGAAAGCTGCGCGAAGAACAAGGATGAAACAATAATGGAACAAGAGAGTGTCAGAATGAGTCAAGAGGCAGTGCGTAACAATAAGAACAATGGAAGTGGGGCGAAGGGTAATACGAGGCAGTGTTCCATGAGTGAAAGAGTCCATAGAGGGAATAAAGGAGCGAAGGAATAGGGGCAAGCGAAACGATAAGATGCGAGACAGATCAGATAAGATAAAGTGAAAAATAGGGGCTATACCGGCTGTTCACGACATTACCCCCCTTCTAAGCCTCATCGTCCTCGATGACCAACGGTAGGCGGCGTCCCAGTTCCCAGTCAAAGTCGGTAGGCGGGGCGTCGGTGAAATTCTCGAGTGGGCGCCATGGGAGAGAGCTGAAGATGGTAGCGGAAATTCGGCGTGGTGCAGAGGGGTGTCGCTGGTGGAACTCCTTCACGATCTCGGGCGCGTGCTCCAAGTTCTCCTCCGGTTCCCAAGTGTCGTCCGTCGACCCATAACCCTTCCAACTGACCAAATACTCCAGTTTGCGATTCTTTCCTCGACCTCTCCAACGGCTGTCCAGGATGTCGTGAACCTCGTATTCAAGCTCCCCCTCCAGTTCGACAGGCTCAGGCGGGGGTGGCAAAATGCCATTGACATCATTGCCTTTCCAGGGGGAGAGCTTGTCGACGTGGAACACAGGATGAATGCGGGAGAGGGACGGGGGAAGTTCGAGGCGGTAGTCGAGGTCGCCGATGCGTTCGGTAATCTTGTACGGGCCGAGTTGGAGGTCGCCGAGTTTGCGGGACGGAACCTTGATCTGGATGTCCTTCGCGTTAAGCCAAACGTAGTCGCCAACCTTGAATTGATGAGCCGTTCGCTTGCCGGACTCGTACGCATCCTTCTGCTGGGCCTTCTCGAGACGTAAGGCAGCTTCCACATCCTTGCGGGCTTCTTGTAGCTGCTGAACACGTTCATCAACGGGGCGAAGGTCGGTCCGTTTGCCAATGGGGATGTTGAAGTGGGGAATATACCCATAGAGAACTTCGAAAGGTGAACGATCATGGGCAGAGTGGACGCGGGAATTGATCACGAATTCAGCCATCGGTAGGTGCTTGTCCCAGTCATCCTGTCGGCGAGAGACGTAAAGACGGAGATACTTCTCGATTTCCTGGTTGGCCCGTTCGGTTTGTCCATTGGCTTGAGGGTGATAGGCGGTGGTGAGGTTGGACTCGATTCCGAGACGCTTGAGGAGGGTGCGCATGACCTTAGAAGCGAACTGAGGGCCTCGATCACTGATGAACCGGAGTGGGAGACCATGGAGACGGAATACTTCACGGTAGTAGATGTCTGCAACGCCTTCGGTGGTGATGTCGGATGTACAGGGGAGAACATGAAGAACCTTGCTGTAGTGATCGGTGAAGACGATGATCGCGTCGTGTCCATGGGCTTCCGGTAACTGGGTGATGAGATCGACTCCTACTGTCTCCCAAGGCCCTTCGGGAACGTCCAAAGGCCGGGTGGCAGCCCGCGGGTGCTGGGTATGCTTTCTCCGGGCGCAGACATCGCAACCGTCGACGTACTTCTTGACGAAAGCCCGCATCGTGGGCCACCAGTACTGTCGTTCAACTCGCTCGAGGGTTCCGTGCACTCCGGGGTGTCCGGACGTGGGGTCGTCATGACACTGCTTGAGGACATCGCGCCTGAGTTCGTCGTCCGGGGGTACGTACACACGGCCCTTGTAGTACACAAGGCCGTTGTCCTCTTCCCATTCGGGAAGTCCAGATGTGAGACGGCGAGGTCCTGACTTACGGAGCTGGGCGAGTCCGTCTAAGACCTGAGATTCACGGGCGCTGGCTCGACGCAGTCGGTCTTCGAGGGGGTTGGCAAGGACGGTGTGGGCGGCTGCGAGCTTGGCAAACAATTCTGGTTTGAGAACGACTTGTTGTTTGTTATCCTCTGCGTCTGCGACCTGATGAATGTCGAGGCGGGACAGGGGATCGGCTTGGGTGTTGGCCTTTCCGGGACGATGGGTGAGCGTGAAGTTGAAACGGGAAAGATAGAGGGACCACCGGGCCTGTCGTCGACTAAGGTCTTGTGCCGTGCGCCAGTATTCCAGGTTGGAATGATCGGTGACGATCTCGAACGGTTTGGGGAGTCCTTCCAGGAAATGTCGCCAGTCCTTGAGTGCTTCGATGATAGCCAGCATTTCTCGGTCGTAGATTTCGTAGTTGCGTTCGGCTGGTTGCATGGAGGCGGAGCGGAAGGCAACAGGATGCCAGAGTCCATCGTCGAGCTTCTGAAGGAGGGCTCCTCCAGTAGCAAAGCCAGAGGCGTCTACTTCAACGCGGGTTGGACGGTCGGGGTCCCATAGTGTCAGTATTGGAGCGGAGGTGAACGCGTTTCGGAGGGAATCGAAGGCTTGTTGTTGCGGTTCGTTCCACTGCCAAGGGATGTCCTTCTTGGTGAGATCGTTGAGAGGCCGGGGCGATGGTAGCAAAGTCCTTGATAAAACGGCGATAGAAGTTGGCGAAACCCAAAAATCCACGGACGGCGCGAAGGTTGCGGGGAACAGGCCAGTTGCGAACAGCTTCTACCTTGGCAGGGTCCATACGGACTTCTCCCCTCCCTGATGACCAGACCGAGGTACTCGATCTCCTCCCGCTCAAACTCGCATTTCTCCGGACGAAGGTAGAGGTCGTGTTTCTTGAGCCGATGGAGGACCTCGTGCACGACTTGGCGGTGTTCATCAAGGGTGGCCGTGAAGATGAGAATGTCGTCCAAATAAACAGCGACCTTTCCTGAAGCGATGAGGTCCGAGAATATCGAGTTCATGAGGGCCTGGAACGTTGCTGGGGAATTGGTGAGGCCGAAAAACATGACCAGGGGCTCAAAGAGTCCTTGGTTGGTGGCGAACGCGGCCTTCCATTCATCTCCTTCTTTGATGCGGATGTTGTTGTAGCCCCATCGAACGTCGAACTTGGTGAAATACTTGGCACCACGGAGTCGGTTGACGATGTCAGAGACGAGGGGAAGTGGATATCGGTTCTTCACCGTGATCTCGTTGAGCTTTCGATAATCCTGGACGAAGCGGAGTTTGCCATCTTTCTTCTTAACGAAGAAGACCGGGGAGGCGAGGGGCGATTTAGACGGTCGTATGTAGCCTTTCTTGAGATTCTCCTCGAGGAATCGGTTCAGCTCCTCCTGCTCGTTCTGCGACATGGGGTAGACCTTGGTGCGCATGGTGGCCGGTGCTCCTGCAACGAGGTCGATGGCATGATCCCAAGGCTTGTGTTCGGGGAGACGATGGGACTCGGATTCGGAGAAGACGGAGGCGTGCTGTCGGTACTGGGGAGGAACCATCTCTTCGAACGACTTCTGGGGCTTGGCCTTCTGGGACTTCTCGGCGATCTGTTGGGAATAGGTGAAACCAGCGGCGCACCAAAGTTCGTCGCCTGTGTCTTCCATCAACCCCTTACGAACCCATCTCCGCCGGGTCATTCGGTTAGCGCGGATGCGGCAGAGAGGAGGCGCGCTTGGTTCAAAGTCGGGGTCGGGCGCCGGGAACTCGTTGGTAGGAACAGGCGGATCAGGGTCGTTGTAGATCTGTTTGATAATAGCATTGCCGGAGGGTGGTTCCTTTCGAGGGGGCTGTGCATCTTCGTCGGGGATTTCTTCGATGGTAACACTGGAGACACGAGGTGGGGGAATCTCCAAGGTGCCCTTGCGCCAATCAATCTGGGGGTTGATCTTGCGAAGCCAAGGAAGACCCAAGATGACATCCTCCCCCCCGAGATCGGCGATGAGGAAGTCCGTCCATTCGGAGTAACCGTCAACCGTGAGTTCCAAGCGAGCGAAGTGAGTGATGTGTCCAGCCTGATTTGGGGTCCCATCAATATTGAGGAGTCGAATGGGGTGTCGGAGTGGGTACGTGGTGATCCGATGCTTTTCCACAAAAGGCTTGTCCAAGAATTTGCCAGTAGCGCCACAGTCGATCATTGCTGCGGGGTCCGCCGTACGGTTTCTGCCTCTGAGTCTGATGCGAATGCGAAAATGCGAGGAACCGGGGTGTATTTCGCGCACAGAGCTAATAGTACAGGAGTAAATCGAGTCATATTCAGAAACAGCGTACGACGGTGAAAAGGGTGCATGCTTTGCAGCACGAACAAGCACCCGCTTCAAAAACCCTGTTGTTGGATCTTCTCGAGGCGCTCCAGGATGTCCTGTTGGTTCTTCTGAGCAACCAAGAGATCGGCGAGTGAAACGTTAGACGAGGTGGCAGTCGATGCCAAACCACTTGTCAGGGTTGAGGTCTTTACTAGAGGCGAAGAAGTGTGGGTATCCTGCGCAGCTAATCTTGACGGTGTCGGAAAACCAGAGTTGCCAGAAGTAAGACCCTGATCGGCAGGGTCAACCAGAGTGCCAGGGGGTCCGGAATGCAGGGACAACGATCGGCGTTGCCAGTGCACGGGGGTAGCTTGACCTAATGTCGCGAAGAGCGAACACTAAACCAAACCAAAGACCAGTAATGCGGAGCAGATAAGAGCGGCGAGTAAGATAAGAGCGATGAGCGACGAATGCAGATGAAGGCGGAAGCGATGTATTGACGAAGAGGTCAAGCTGAGGAAATACAGAGCAGACTACCTAGCTTATATACCTATTCTACAGTCTACATAGCCGCGATGAGTCAAAATGACAAACAAATGGCGAAACGTCGAAGAACAATAAGAAGGGTCATGAGGCTGCGCGAAAGCTGCGCGAAGAACAAGGATGAAACATTAATGGAACAAGAGAGTGTCAGAATGAGTCAAGAGGCAGTGCGTAACAATAAGAACAATGGAAGTGGGGCGAAGGGTAATACGAGGCAGTGTTCCATGAGTGAAAGAGTCCATAGAGGGAATAAAGGAGCGAAGGAATAGGGGCAAGCGAAACGATAAGATGCGAGACAGATCAGATAAGATAAAGTGAAAAATAGGGGCTGTACCGGCTGTTCACGACAGCTCGGAGTACACTGAATGCAAGCTTGGTCTTGCCGAGTGTGTAGGAGGGGATCAACCATTAGCATCCGGTCAATACGCGTTCCAATGCGCTCGCAACCGATGTGGTTATTACGGTGTGTTTTTCTTTTTCTTCTGTTATGAATCCACTGAGTCGAGCTTTCTCTGTAGTCCTCATAGATCAGTTCTTTTCACACCCAAAGCTAATGGCTTCGACGTTCCCCAAACGACGTGAGTATGGAGTGGGATGTGGCCTTTGACGTGAACCTCATTATCTTGGACAGGAGATATACTTGATAATGGCGACTTTGGACTTGAACTGACAGACGAATCCAGGCGCCACCTCGGATTCCGTCAGGTGGCGAATGGTAACCGCAACGTCCTTCGTGGGGCGCATAGTACGTCCCTGCTCCATATGTTTGTAGTGACAGCACCGCTTACCGAGACTTCATAGACTTAAGACGCGAGACCCCGCACATCGCCGCCAAATGGCGCGCCGATTTTGAGCAGCTTGCTGTTCAAGGCCTATGCGGAGATGCCTTCTGGGACCTCTTCATCCAATGCATGGACTGCAATGTCATCATGCCTCGCTTCCTTTTCCCGTACAAGCATTCGTGCTCCAACCGAGCAATTCGCCAGCGCCACCACATCTGGGATCCCTCCTCCCCCTCCTTCATGAACCGGTTACGCTACCAATCCGACGATGATGATACCGCGTCCGACGAATCTGGTCCCAGTACAGCCCCGTGTTCGCCAGTCCCGCTTCGTGGTTCCGGGCTACAGCTCCGATCCAAGAGTTCCATATACCAGACGCCACCTCCACGTCCCGTTCCTCAGTCACCTATTGCAAAACGGAAGCTCCATGAGGTGGAGGATGGCAATGAGGGGGATGACGAAGACTACCTTCGTGCCTGTGCTCGACGCAGGCTCCCATCTTCATTCGACGACAGCCAGGAAGATGTTTTCACATACCGGGAATCCAGTAGCGATTTGCCGGAGCTAGCGGATATCATAGACTTCTAATCGAGCACCCAATAATGACTGAATACATCGCTGCTATAGTCCATGTATGAGAACTCGACGGGTTCCATGTAGGCGGGCTTGGAGGATTCAAAGTCCATCGAGGAGGTAAGTTGCGAGGACACGTTGCTGAGGATCGTTAAAAAATGTGCGGGGTGGTTGTTCGACTTGCTCGCAAGGCGACGCGCAAAATAAAGAAGGGAAAACAAGGACCTAATTTAGTGGCGTGGGGTGAGTTAGGCTGGGAAAGACTGACAACTGCAAAGAAATAAATGCGGGCGGGGCGGGAGAGGAAGTGGAGAGGAGAGAAGGGGGGGATGAAGATCAGAGGCCGCTGAGCACTCGGTTATATAGAATCTTCGTCCAGCGGGTCTGGAAGAATCCGAGCAATCCCATTCCAGAGTGCTGAGGTCAATCTCATCGACACGAGGCAGTTTCTTTTCGCTAGAAACATTCATTTCGAGACAATTGGCCCCATTGTTGCCCACTTTCCGTCAAAAAATCGCTTCTTTGTTTTTCCGATCTTCCCTCAATGTTTCCTTCCAATTTCTGCTGCGCCACACAGATTGTTGCCCGCTGCCCTACTTCCACTGCACACATTAGATACTTGAAATCTCCGGCGATTCACATCTTATTAACTCACTGTACATAACACCCGACCCGGCTCCTGACTCATGATCATTATCCTGCGATTCTTGCCTCCGTTTCGAGTGGTTTCTGCTTTGGGTCCCTCACCTCGTACCGAACTCCCGTATCAACGCCGTCTTTGTTTGTCCGTTTTATCTGCCATCAAGATCCGGCTTCCGAGGCTGCTCGGGGAGTATGAGATGTCCAATCCCTCAAGTGGGAATCACATAGTAGTCACAGGCTCACAGAGACCTATGTGCCTGTGCGCTGGAAGTGGCCAAATCGTCGCATTTTTGTGCAACGTTGTTTTCATATTCACAGGTTAACCTTCTTCAGAGATGCTTCTCCATCCTACAACAAGTAAATCTAGTCCTGTCAGCTTACATTCGAACTTTATCGTGCCTGCGAGCGCTGACATTAACCGCTCGTCGACCGTCACCAGAAATCCTCCGATATGAGCGCCGTTACCTGCGACCCTGTTCTGCCCAACAACGGTGTGACCAAAGGGATTGATGACAAAATTGATACAAAATGCAGAAGGGAGTCGTCGTAGATACAGGTCGTGGAGGGGTCGTAAGTCGTAACATGGTCGTGAATAACAGGCTGGATGTCCAAAGTAAGTGAAAGTAGGAAAACAATGAACGTAGCTGAGAGGTTTCTTAGGCTTTGTAGTACCCTGTCATTGGAGGCGAAAACTGTCATACACCCGGATGATTGTCTGACGGAACCTATCCATATGGTATGAGCCATTCATATGATTGTAGTGTTCCAGGCGCTTGGAGTATCGCCACGCTAAAGAAGTTTCGTACCAGAAGTCAGTCACCTCGGGATTCTCAGGTATTTCATCGAGACATACGGTCCACCTGGTAAACGATATCAACGAGAAGTGAGATGATGAAGGTAGTATCAAGATTGCTAAACCTAGCGGCACAAAATCCTGTCATAAAACCAGAATTCTCTCCCTTTCCCAAAGACATCGGGAATGAGAGCTTAGCGGAAACTTGACGACGAGAACGATCGCGACTAACCTTCTTTGGAGCTGTACCATCATGAGGATGGTTCGAATCGCCGAGAGGTGAGGGTCCCAAAGAGCCACAGGAATGTAAACCATCTATCACATTAATCCAGGTGCACGATCGCTAACGTGAATACAGCGAGTTTCAAGATTATCTCGCTCGAGGTGGTCCGAATCGGACGTAGTACTGGGGTGATCCCAACGTGACGCTGCGACACTATCACGTGGTGTGACATGGACTTGGACATATAAACCAGCTACCGCGCACACCCTCCCTTCCTTCTCATTGTCCCACATGTTGCGGCAATGAGCCCCACACCATGGGCGCTGCTACCTCAAGAATCTATGGCTACATGGTGCGTTCCCACTTCGCCTTCGTGAGTACTATGTCGTATATGTCGTTGACATACTCCACATCCAGCTTCATGTCGCTCTGTCTCCGGTCAACTATCCGTCCCTTGCCACCAGTTACACCCTGAATAAACAGTACTTTATAATTTCGCGATGGAGAGTGTCGTAGGATGCGTTTGGCTTTGGTATGTCCGGTATACACACTAATCGGATGACGCTGACACCTGCCACAGAGCTTCTCCAGCGCCTCGTCTTGCATGGTCCCCAGTGTCGGTCATCATTGCAGTTCGACGCTAGTATTGCGTGAAAGGCGGTCCCAGTCCCAGTCGGTGTCGCCGTTATCCAATGGTGCCTTCCTCCCTGTCTATGGACGTGCATTCTCTGACAACTTCCAGGTGGGCAGTCCTGACACTGCGCAGATCTTCTGGAAGGGTTGGTGGTTTCCTCTAGGTTCTTCATATCTATGTGCGTACGTTCTTTGCGACAACTTTCCAGGCGGGCATTGCTAACGCGCCACAGGTCCACCAGCTGGGCTGGTGGTCTGCCCTAACTCAGCTCGACGCCAAGACTTACATTCGTGTGCCACGTAGCTCTTCAAGAGCGTATCTGCCGTGTCTTCCTTTCCCATGTGACCTCGGTTAAGGTATTCGTCGCCTCGGTTAAGGTATTCGTCGTGGGTTCAGGGATCTTTTCCGGGTAGTTTTGTCCTTTCTCGGTTGGGTAGGCCTTGGGCTCTAGCATTCCATAGAAACACGGTTGTTCTTTAGAGCAAAACCATCAATATACTACCTATGCGAAACAGAAAAAAATATTTTGATGTGCCTGGGCCCTGAAAACTGCCTGTTTGGAACCAATTCGCCATCAGCGTGGCAACTGGACCGCAGATACCGCCTGCGGCTTCTTTCATTTCAATGGCAGCGCCACGTTTCATCCAGGTGGAACAGCGCGATAAATCGTACCCACCATAGGGGAAATAACTGGGAAATCAGGCATGACCATAATCCCATCTCTAGTCCCACCGAAAAATGAAGGAAAAAATGAACAAAAAGAAAGTAATGGCCATACACTACACCGAAGTCGAAAAAGTAGACAGGGTTCCAACAGGAAAGAGGAGGGAGAGGCAGATGTCATCAGCAGAGGTCAACACGTTGCCCAAGACCAGATGAATTGACTTCCCAAACTCGAGCTATTGGACTTGGACTCGACAACAATGCGGCTCTGATGACCGCTCCTCCACATAGGCCCAGAAGCCAATGCGAACAGCCAAGCACCCTCTCAATCCCGCTCGCGTACCCGGAGACAGATGGAGCGGCGGACTCGGAGCAACCGAATTGGCGATCCGGAAGAACGCAGTCTTTTGGTCGCTCGGTATCGCATCCAAGTCTGCCAGACTGGCGCACGGGGCCAGACTGGCGCATCTGGCAGACTTTGATGGGGTACCGAGCGACCAAAGCTCTCCCTCCGGTCCCCAATCCGGTCCCGACATTAGATCAGAACTCTGATGTGCGTCGTGAGGGACTTGGCTGATCCGGGAAGCCAGTGCGCCATGCGTTTCAAAAGTTAATATTCCGGACAATGTCCCCGTTCGAGTGCCGTTGAGGGGCCTTGGGGGTGTTAGATCAATTAAAAAGATATCACTAGCATGAGCGCCGGGATGCCGGGTTTCAAAAAGTGGGTCAGAACCGAGCGAAGCATTCGGTTAGGGGACACTCCGTTGCCACACATCAATTGGGGAGCCTGGTGGGAGACTAAAAGGGTATTCAGTGCAGGTTACCATCATCTTTGACCCCTTTTCGGGGAATGACATCGCCCCTCTCCCTGTTCATTACCCCTAGGCTGATGTCACAGCCCCTCGCGGCATGCTGGTTGCACCGGGAAACTACTGCGATGCACTTAATTGCGATGTGAACTGCTTGGACTTGCGGGGTCCCTAACCTATAAATGGACATCCCCCTTGCGTTGGGCCGGCGAAGGGAAGCGAACTGATGATGAGAGTTCGAAATTCACCGGCCAGCGGTCGGGATGACCCATGGTTCTTGTCCAGGTCGCGTCGTCCGGCTCTCTGATCAGGCCGTCCGGTATGGCTGCGAAGCCGGCAGCTGGGTGGGGGGTCAAGCGAGAATTCATTCATACCCATCCTTGATTATCTAGTGATATCAGACTGGGATTGGATGATAATCGATTATCAGGGTGTCTTTTTTTTCCTGATGACAACAGAAACTATGGGTGGCACCGCGGACGACACCCATCACTAAAAAACCGGGTTGGCGATATGCTTTGTCGCCCACGTATATAGTGAGACTTAACTAGATCTCAGGACTATCGATCCGGTCTCGACAGTTCGACATGAAACCGGAGCGGCGGGAGTCTTATCTCACCAAAAGCGAGGCGGTGAGGTTGAGATCGCCCGTAAGCGCCGAGAGGTCGTGAGATCTCACGCCAGCCGCCGCGCCGGGTGTGCGACCACACGAGCTCCGCAGAGGCTTTGAGAGATCTCACGAGCAGGCCCCAGCCCCTTTTGTTTAATCCTGGCAGACACATGTATTTATGGCCCTTTCTCCTTCCCAGTGTCAAAGTTCGTCCATCTACTTGAAAGCGACTGCCAAACAAATTCATGAAGAGTCGGCTGGGTCAAAGTCATTTCAAACTCCGCTCGGGATGTCGCGCGGTGGAATTATGCCATCCGCGTCGTCCATCCCTTCTTAGCTTTGAACCACATCCATCCCCTGTGCCCACCTAGATCTCGCGTCCCTCAAACCGCCCTGAGCCCAGAACCCCATTTTCCATACGAATAACAGCTGCAGAACACATTTTCAGAAACAACGCCCGGGTCAGATTGTCCAACAGGTCGAAATCAGTTGTTTTCAAGATTCTGGGACCGAAACCTTCAAGGATCGTGAAAGGCGAGCCTATGGAAAAGTCGCCCAATATAAGCTAACGTTTTTCTACTAGGCGGGTTGCTCATAACACCGGAAGAGGTCCAGAAAATGGTGACGAGGGTCCTGGGGCGTGGTTGAACCGGGCTTGATGGTAGGACTTGATTTATGTAAAGGCTCCCGATTCATCTTCAAGCACTGACCAGTCTTTTCAACTTATCCAGGACATTAGAGCAGGTCGAGTTGAGTGGATTTTCAGGGCCGTTCGGTGAGTACGGTGTAGGTATTCCACGTAGATACGTTTCGGGGATGTATTTGCGCTATGATGAAAATATATGGCATTTGTATTCTCTTTACACAAAATCAAGAAAAGGCTCAAAATATGCAGTCCTAGGCCCCGACTGTATCTTGGTACAGGTGTGCTTGTGAGATCGCACGGAGACCGCGCGCGCGCGTGAGATCTCACAAGCCGCGGCGACGCTTTGGAGACAAAGCATCTGGTGACTCTCGCACCAGCGCCGCCGCGGTTGTGTGCGCTCGCGTGCGGTGACCAGGACATTGGGCGGCTAGGGACATCGCCTGGCCACCGCTCAAATATCTCCAACAAGGTTTTTTAGTGATGAAGGCACTTAGAGAGGCGGACACACTCCGACCTTCCGTAACGCCAATCACCCTTTCCGTACACACCGGCATCTTGCTCGACAAAGGCAAAAATAATTTCAAGGAATGGAAGAGGACTGTCTACGGTGCACTGGGCGTAGTAGGCGCATGGGATTACACAAAGAAAAACGCGACTAAACCGATCGCCACGGTTGAACCGAGGGCCTATGCCAATTGGCTGATCAACGATTCCCGTGTTTGCGCTTACCTCTACGGCGCTCTATCGCAAGGCGAGAGGAACGCCATCGAGCACCAAGAAACGGACGCTGCGGAGTACTGGGAGAAGATCGAGAAGCGCCATACGCAGGACACCCCCCTGGCACAGGTTTACCTCCTGAAGGACATCCTCACCACCACCATCGGTACCAACGAACCATACCACACGGCACTCGCATCCCTCTTCGACAACGTAGACCGCGCATGGGCGATGGGAGACATAACCGTCGACATACTCAAACGAATCGCCGCAGTCTGCGCACTGCAACACCACGAATCATTCCAAATGTCGCTCCTGGATCGCATCAAGAACGAAACCAAAGAAAAACCATTCACCAACGCCGACATCCTTCAACTCGCTGAAGATCGGCAACGCATTATCGATGCCAACAAGGCCCAATCGTCCCATACCTCCAATACCGCCATAGCGCTTGCGGCCAACAGCAAACCGAAGGAGAAGGGAGGGGCAGGAAGCCTGGTATGCGGGAACTGTGGGGGGAAGTACCATGAGGCGCAATTCTGCAACTCGAAAGGTGGAGGGATGGAAGGAAAGGACCGGGAGGAGTGCATTAGGGCGGCAAGGGCTGCACGAGCGGCGATGAAAGGAGGAGGAAGGACGACCGCATCTTCGACTCCAAAGAAGGAAACAATACCACTGAAGATCGAAGATAACTCTGGCCGAGTTTTCATTGCCCACGTAGACCCAAACAGCCTTATCCCTGCCAACACACCAACCGGAAATACCACAACCACCATCGCCAACTTCGCCGGGACTCAGCAGACCACGGCACCATTCAACCCCGACACCTTCGATTATTCTGCAACACAAGCCCAGTACCGATTTGGCTTCAACGCAATCAGCAACCCTATCGAAACGTCGACCGCATTTGTAGCTACCAGCACCAATTCACCATGGTTCATCGACACAGGTGTAAGGCATAACACGAGTACGGGTACGGGTATACCCGCACCCGTTTGGCGGGTACCTGTGATGTTCAAGAGCAATACCCGTATCCACGGGTATTTGTTCAAACGGGTACCCGTACCCGCGGGTTTTTGCCTGTGGGTCACCAAAAACCCGTTTGAGACAGGTACCCGCAGGTACCCATGGGTATACCCACGGGTTACCCGTTGCCAGAATACCCTTTCAATAGATTTTATGATATTCAATACATTATTTTCCATAGTTATCATGCTTCAAATACCCGCGGGTATACCTGTACCTGCGGCAAAAGTCCTAAATTCATACCTGTATCCGCGGATACGGGTACAGACGGGTTTTCCCACGGATATACCCGCGGGTATACCTGTCTGTACCCGTACTCGTGTTATGCCTTACACAGGTGCCAACTCCCACATCACCCCCTTCCTATCCGACCTCACCGATTGTATCGCACTTCCTGTCCCCCACATCATCAGAGGAGTAGCAGGAGGAGAAGACCTCATTGCCAACACAGCTGGTAAAGCATACGTCAAGTCATCCTGTGGAAAGACATTGGGACTGAGGAACGTCCTCTACGTACCAAACGCCAGTGTCCGACTCGTCTCGGTGATCACATTTACCGAGGACGAGAACGCCAGCGCGTTCTTCAACCGGGAGAACTGCTACATCTACGAGAACACGACCAACGCAAAAATAGCGACAGCCAAGCTCAACCCGACCACTCGAATGTTCGTGTTCGACCCAACCAAAGAAACCGCCCCCACCATTGCTCTCAGTGCCACGGCCAACTCCCCAATCGAAACCTGGCATGCACGCTTGGGACATGCGAACCACCAGGCTGTGGCACGCATGGCCAGAGAGGGCATTGCTGAAGGTATGCCCAAATCACTCCCATCCAAACCATGTGCTTGCAGCTCATGCATCCGCGCCAAACAGGGACGGTCACCTGTACCAAAGAAGCGTGAGGAGGGACCTGGGCATAGGGCAACGAGGAGGTTGGAGAAGGTATTCGTAGACCTTACCGGCGAGATGGCTGTACAATCGCGAACTGGAAATGTATACGTGATGAACATTGTCGACAATTTCTCGAACTTCACCTGGTCCGTTCCGCTTAAACGCAAAGATGACGCCCTCTCAGCCCTCAAGGTCTGGCACACCATGATAGAACGAGAGACGGGCGAAAAGGTTGGGATATACCGAATGGATAATGGGGAATTAGTCTCAGCAGAAATGACGAGCTGGCTCGAGTCTCTGGGGATGCGACAAGAGCTGACGGCCCCGCATACTGCCGCGCACAACGGCAGGGTGGAGAGGATGAATAGAACACTCATGGACAAGCAACGGGCCATGAGGGCCTATGCCCAACTACCCCCAAACCTGTGGGAGGAGTTGTACTTGACAGCAACCCATCTCACGAACCGGACTGCGAGCCGATCGATTGGTGGGAAGACTCCCTTCGAGCTGTGGTATGGGAGGAAGCCTAACCTCTCTTACCTCCGGGAGATTGGATGCAAGGCGTTCATGCTAATCCAGAACCGACATAACCCCAAGCTTTACGAAAGGTCAAAGGAGATGGTTCTCATTGGGTATGGATCAAACTCCAAGACCTACCGGTGTTATGACAGGGAGACACGAAGGGTATATGCGTCATACCATGTACGATTCATCGAAAGCCATCAACTGCCACAAAACGCACCCCACCCTCACCACCAACTGCCACCTACCAGCACAACCACAGACTATGAGGAAGACCTTATCGATGACGAGCCGGCCGAACACACACAACCCAGCCGCGCCAATGTTGAAAGCCAACCTGCCGACACTGATGACCTCCCGATACCAAAACCAGCAACGATTGCCCAAGTACCGTTGGAACCGAACAATGACAATGACGATCCCCCCCACAACGCAAACCCGGATATCACGCCACCCGATAACCCAGCCCCACGTCGATCTACGCGGGTCCCCAAACCGGTAGATCACTCAGCTAAGACATCGAATCGGCACCAGGAAGTACTGGAAGAGGTCAGGGAATCGGAACAGAGAGTCAAGGAACAGAGGAAGCAACGTAGGGCAGCCAAGAAGGAGACCAAACAACTAGCACAGGAAAGGACGAGAGATCAGGACAAAGGAGGGGAATCGACCCAAACATCGACCACCACTGAAGGGCAGGACAGAGAGACAGAAAGGCAGGCCGAATCGGATAAGGAAGAGGAGGTAGAGAAGCTGACCAAGATGCTCGACGAACTCGATATCAACAACCTCGAAGAAAAGGAAGTCGAAGAGATCGTACGGATTTTCTCTGCCATTATTGACAGCTCGACTTTCGAATTCGAAAATGACCCCAGGGACTGGGACGATGCCATAGGATCACCAAACCGGGATGAATGGATTGCCGCACTGAAGGAGGAACTCCAAGCATTCAAGAAGTATGACGTCTACGACCTAGTACCCCGATCCGAAGTTCCCAAAGGCGACAAGATCCATACTGGCCGGATACTCTGTACCAATAAGAGAGACGAAATGGGACGCATCATTAGGAGGAAAGTACGAATTGTATTCCGAGGATTCGAGCAGATCTTCGGGAAGAACTACACCAAGACCACCTCACCTACGGCACGAATGGAATCCTGGCGCATCCTACTCCACATAGCGGCTACAAAGGGTTGGGATGTACAACAGGTTGACGTCAAGACAGCGTTCCTGAATGGAATCCTCCCCGAGGAGGAGATCGTCTACATGGAACAACCAAAAGGGTTTGAGGAACCAGGGAAGGAGGATTGGGTATGGCGGATTAAGAAGGGACTTTACGGCATGAAGCAGAGCGGGCGAATCTGGAACAAGACAATCACACAATTCATGGAGAGCTGGGGCTTCAAACGCCTCGCCTCGGAAGCATGCATCTATTACCGAAACACACCAACCGGAACCATCATGACGGCGGTACACGTTGACGACTTCCTCTCATGCGCGAGTTCTAGTGAAGAGAATGAACGATTCATCGCGCAAATGGAGAAAGAATGGCAGATCACGAGAATGGGCAAGCCACGACACTGTGTAGGCATTGCTATCGACTACGACACAGTGAACCGCACAGTCAAGCTCTCCCAAATGGCTTTGATTGAAAAGATCATCTCGGCATTCGGACAGAAGGATGCACACCCCGTATCGACACCAATGGATCCGAACGTGAAACTCCGAAAAACTGATTTATCGAAGATGACCAGAGAAGAGAAGAACCGCATTTCCAAACTGCCGTATAGGTCTCTCGTCGGATGCCTCCTGTATCTTGCAATCGGAACCCGCCCCGACATTGCGTACGCTGTGCAACAGCTCTCCCAATACCTCGACTCTTACTCCCTCATCCACTGGAATGCGGCCATCCGTGTCGTCCGATACCTGAAGGGGACAAAACACTACTTCCTCGAGTTAGGAGGAGACACCATGATGAAACTCCGAGGATTTAGTGACTCCGACTGGGCAAATTGCATCGACACAAGGAGAAGTGTTGGAGGTTACGGATTTGACCTAGGTTCTGGACTCATTGCATGGTCATCCAAGAAACAAAAAACGGTAGCGACATCCACATGCGAAGCGGAATACACAGCCGCATTTGAAGCAGCGAAGGAAGCCATCTGGCTGCGATCCCTGCTAAACGAACTCGATATGCCTCAGAAACAACCAGCCAAATTATACTGTGACAACAACGCCGCCATCCAGCTCTCTGAAGACCCCTCACTCCATAACCGCTCCAAGCACTTTGACCTCAAGCTCCATTACCTTCGAGAGAAGGTACAGTCTGGTGAGATCTCCACCGTCTACATCAGCACCAACGAGAACCCAGCCGACATATTCACGAAGGCCCTTCCCGGCCCACAATTCTGCAAACTGCGAGAAAGGATTGGCGTGAAACCTCCCACACACGATTCCATTCGAGGAGGAGTCGACTTACGGTGAGGAGGAGTGTTAGGATTCACCGTGCCGTCGATCCAACGACCAGTGGCCACACCCCTTTGTGCGGGGAGCGGTGGCATCCAGGACAATGGTCCTTTATCTTTCACATACTTATATACCGAGAGCCGTAGTGTACAGAACCTCAGTCGTTACATCCCCGACTGAGGTGAGCCACATCCCGACCAATTAGCATATTTATTAATACTGACTATACCTAGTATTTACCTTACTTACAGGAGAATAGGATTCGGTTTCAACAGATTCATCGTCAAGACAGGAAACAAAGACAATCCAGACTCACGACAACGACTCCATAGCCAATCCCAAACACAATGAGCGTCTGATACGCCGCCCAACTAGTGTTCCGTCCCGTGAGATAAACGACGTTGAGAATCACGTAGCCCGCTGAGAAGAACGCGATGGCTGCTGCAGATTCGACGAGGATACTCGTCACTCCCGTGTAAACTTTGTCCTTGTCGGCGTACTCCCCTAGAGCCTTTTGCAGGGCTCTTCGGGTGCGGACGATCTTGAAGACGATGAGTGCGGTGACGATGAGGTGGAGGACGAGGTAGAGGAAGGAGTCGATGGATAGGAGGACGTAGTTTGAGTAGGAGCGCTGGAAGAGGGGGATGATGGATGGGATACTAACGGCTTTGAATATACAGGATATCAGTGTATCCAAAGAGGGCGAAGCCGAATGGATTTACTTACTGAATGATGCCAGGAAAGCAACGATGGGTATGACGGCTACCCAGACGCTGTCACTCCAGATAATACTAGTATAACACCGATACACCTAATACCATACACCAACCATAACGAACTAAAGTAGTGCGCATGTCGAAGCCATGAAGTTGGCCCTAGGAAGGATGCAAAAGCTAAAACTGGGAGAGGACAGCCGAGCAAAAGGCGGCCGAGGGAGAAGAAACAGATCGCGTGTTTCTCTTGTCGGGTCCTCAAGGTCAATTGCGGGCGCCCTCAAGCAGATGGAGCTCAAAATACACCGTGCGAGTAAGGGTCTTTTGAACTTTCTCTTTCGCGATGGCACTGATTTCGCGTTCTAGTCAGTGCTTGAAGCGTAATTTGTACTGTTGCTCGAGATAAATTAGGTTGTCGGTAATTGTAGATTTAAAGCTCCTGGATTTCGTAAACCAGTCAAACGGAGGTATCCCTACACGGCGAGAAAGAGCTTGAGCGTAGACTGGTAACCAGCCCACTTTCTTGAAACTATCGCTGTATGAGCAGTCTAATTGGCGGCGGGGTTGAACATGGTATTGCCGTTTCTTTCGGAGATCAGAATTCGGGATGGGAGGGAGGGGCGCATCATGATCAAGGGCTGCGCATCAAGGGAACGCCAAGAAAGGTTTCCATTGTTATCAAATTACGATTTGGTTCCGCTTTTTGTTCCTCAGGCCATGCTCTTACATAGTTCCCTACTAGTAGGTTTTCAAAGGGCTCAAGGAGGCGGATTCAGAGTGCTGAGCCACCTTATTACAGTCCTGGCAACGCAAGGGGATAATAATAGTGAAATGGGCGGAAACACAGTGCCACATCATCGCAGTGCCACAGACTGCACCGCCACTCGGTTCGAGGTTGAATTGGACCACATTCGTCGCGATGGAGGCTTCTCCATTAAAACCGGCTCTCCAGCATTCCATCTCGACGCCCAGTGCTGTATCCGCGACTCTTTCACAGCAAACACCAAAACCCAGTAAAATCATTCAATTGCAATATCGGTTGAGCATGGAAGGGCGAATCATTCTGTGCCCTTACAGCGAAATGATGAATCGCTACCTTCCAATTCCCCCTCGACCTGTTCCTCACTTCCAATTGACCACCGGGTTGAGGGATATGATGGATGATCTGAGAAGAAATCAAACAACGGAGGTAAACATGTACGAACATTTGGTATGTACCCTCATATCCACCTTTATGCCCTGTCCCACTGAACTAGTGCACTCTAGACTACTACATTGAACCGATGGCTTAAGCTGGCAGATGCAGATAAAAAGCCTAAATTCAGGGTAGTCATCTCAGGAAACAAGTCGGATCCAGATGATTGGACCAAGCAGCGCATCGATGGCGGAGTCTACGAAGACGACGAGAAACCAACTGAAGACCATCCGCCCAAGTGGGAAGCACTCGAGCTAGGTATTGAGGTCAAGCGACATCACAGCTGCGACTTCTTCAGCGACGAATACCAGAAAGGCTATTCTCCCAACTCGGAAGTCAGCAAAAGCGCACTTGGTCAGGCCATGTCATACTCCTCGCTTGTTTTCTTTCACCAACACCGCACACACCACTTCTCCATCCTTATTTTCGGAACCAAGGCTCGAATCGTTCGATGGGACCGTGCTGGTTTGTTATTCACCAACGCATTCGACTACTTCGACGAGCCCCAGAAGTTGGGCGAATTCCTCTGGCGATATGCTCAGATGGACTCCGTCGACAGAGGCCACGACCCGACCGTTACGAGGGTGGTGGCCAAGGGGGACGAAGACACTCTGATGGATACAAGGGCCAAGGTTTCGCGAAAGGTCGAAAAGGTTGTTGTTGATGACGAGATCAGGAAGCTGTTCGACGAAACCGTATCGACTCATGGTCCAAGACACATACTGCGCGTTCAAGGCAAAAAATTCCTGGTCGGCAAACCACATACGTACACCACTGTCCTTGCAGGTCGCGGCACCCGCGGCTATATCGCGATCGACCTCGACGACCCGAAGGGACCTTTTGTTTTCCTCAAAGATACCTGGCGGGTTGTGGGGGAAGGCTTGGATGAGGAGGGGAAAGTCCTTTTGGACCTCAACAGTCCGGACGAGCAGGATCAGAGGGGTCGGAAGTATATCCCAACGCTGGTTTGCCACGGCGACCTCGAGGGCCGGTGGCAGAAAACCGACTCTCAAGACTTTTGGCTCACTCGCAATCCCAATTCCGACCAGAAGTGTCCCATGCGAACCCACCAACATTACCGCCTCGTTGTAAAGGAGGTCGGTCTGCCTATTAGCAACTTCAGGAACGGACGCGAAATGGTTACTCTCATCTCGCACGGTGTTGCCGGTGAGCCTTGTGTTGTAGGATGGTCTCATATACTGGTTTACTGATTTGCGTTGACAACCAGCGCATGGCTACGGCTACAAGAAAGGATACATGCACCGGGACATTAGTGCCGGAAATCTCTTGATCTTCGTCCGTCAAGACGTTGTAAACGGCCAGTTGAAAGAGGAGCGTCATGGACTCCTCACGGACTGGGAATTGGCGAAGAAGCTAGCAGACAAGGGGCCACGGCAGCTGGAACGGACAGTGAGTGTGATCTGGAACCCCACAAGCGCCGTCTGCGATGTCTAACTTTTTGGGCTAGGGCACCTGGCAGTTCCTCGCCGTCGACATTCTCAACAACCCCTCCAAGCCAGTCGAGGTCTGGCATGAAATGGAATCGTGGTTTCATCTCACCCTCTGGCTGGCGGTCCAGTACTTGCCACACAACGTCCAGAATGTTGCCGTGTTTATGTCGGAATTTTTTGATGACGCTGCAAAACCGGATGATGGTTCTACCCATCAGAAATGCGGCACATTGAAGAGAACTAGCATGGAAACAGGTCGTATACGCTCTGCTGCTGGAACACGCTTCAAGTTTGGCGCCCAGGATGATCCTTTTGTCCCTCATGCCATCAACAAAGTCCTGGCCCAGCTTGCACGGGCCTTCTCATACCGTTATCAAGAACAAGAATTGCTACGTACTAATGCTGAACCTTGGCTCGAAGGCGATGTAGCCGACCTGACCCCGGCGCAGCTCAAGGCACTCGAAAACATTGACGATCAAGTCCGTTTCGAAGAGCTGCTCCTCGAATATATAAACGGCCCCGGCTGGCCCGAAAATGACAAGACTGCGCCTCAGGTTTCCCTGAGCGAACGGGAGCCATTCCCTTCAAGCTACCCCATTCGCGGCAGCAAGCGGCCACCATCGGATGGGACAGCGGACTTGGATGTGCCACAACCGAAGCATCCAGCAGTCGCGGGTCCTTCGGGGAGTCGGCCTAAGAGAGGATAGTCGATGGAAGCGTTGTTACTCTTAGCCCAATGTACCAATGGAATGTCGTCGTGCAGACCTACCCCTATACATAGTACCATGTACCCTCACTTCCACCAAATGTGACATCGTTGATGAACTGACGTCGACTCTTGGCGAAAGAAAAACCGTAGATATTTGGCTTCGTCTTCGGGTACAAACAGCGCGCATGGAATTGCAACACGCTCGCACTACGTGCCTCAATCTTGCACCCCACTGACCATGAAACCAACCGACTTACAATGTTCCTATGAGCAATTTGCACGCCGCTATCTCCCCAATCCACCAGACTCACCTACGTTCGAGCTGGGTGGGGTCCGTGGGGAATTGGCTCAGCTGTTGGACGGGCAACGAGAAGGCGCCGAGGATTCGGAATTATACAATGTCATGGTGCGTGGTTCAATTGAGCTTTCCCGGAGGTGAGGTGAGGTCGTTGATCACCATCCATTAGGAGAGCACCCTAAATTCCTGGCTCAAAGATACTGGCTTTACAATTGTCCTCAGCACAGCCGGTGAACCCGACTCAGTCTGGCATCCAAAGACACGTATCAACGGAGGATTATACAAGATTCAGGAGGCACCATCGAAAGGCGAACTGCCGGACTGGGATTCCGTGCAAGTAGGCGTCGGTGCGATATCTCCACACAGGAAGGACTTCTTCAGTGACTTGGTGCCAAAAACCCAAAACCACCCTACCGACTCTGATGTGCCTGCTGCAAGCCAGGAAGCATTTGAGCAAGCCAAGTCGTACTCCCTCATCCCTTTTATCCTTCAACATCGTACCCACCACTTCACGGTCTTCCTTTTCGGCGCTTTGGCTCGTATTGTTCGATGGGACCGGGCTGGCTTCGTGTTCACAGAAGCCTTCAACTATCTCGACTATCCTGAACGATTATGTGATTTTCTCTGGCGCTACATTCACTTGTCTCCCACTGGCAGGGGCTTTGATAGCTCTGTCCAGAGGGTTCTCAGCGAAACACCTGATTGGGACTTGATCCAGAGGCGCGCGGACTCCCCCCGGAATCTTGAGGGCCACGATGTGGACGAGCACATCAGGTCGTTGTTTCAGGAGACGATCAGGGCTGGCCACAGGTACAAGCTCCACGTCCAAGGCCGATATTTCTTCGTCGGTCGACCACACGTCCGCTCAGGCAGAACGCGTGGCTACATCGCGATCGACGCTGCAGACCCATACGGGCCGTTCGTCTTCCTCAAAGATACCTGGCACATCTTACGAGGTGATTTGAAGAAGGAAGGCGATGTCCTGGAAGAACTGAATAGCGCTGATGAGCAACCGCAGAGGGGTAGAAAGTACATCCCGAGTTTGGTTTGTCACCACGACGTTGAAGGAGAGTGGCAGAAAACCGACTCTCAAGACTTCTGGTACGAGCTCAGCCGCAACGAGAATGCTAAATGCCCCTTCAGGCCTCGGCAACACTACCGTCTGGTCGTGAAGGAGGTCGGTCTGCCTATTAGCAAGTTCAGGAACGGGCGCGAGATGCTCACTATCATCTCGCATGGTGTTGCCGGTGAGCATCCTTTATTGAATGTCGCCAGTATAATGGACTGATTTATGTTTTCGACCAGCGCATGGCTATGCCCACAAGAAAGGGTACATGCACCAGGACATTAGCGTCGGAAATATCCTCATCTTCGTCCGTCAAGATATTGAAGAGGGGAGATTGAAGGAGGAGCGCCACGGACTCCTGGCAGACTGGGAATTGGCGGAGAAACTTACAGACCAGGGTCCACGGCAGCCGGAACGGACAGTGAGTGATTACGATGTCTAACGAGCGCCGTCTGCGATGTCTAACCTTTTCGGCTAGGGTACCTGGCAATTCCTCGCTGTCGACATTCTCAACAACCCCTCCAAGCCAGTCGAGGTCTGGCATGAAATGGAATCGTGGTTTCATCTCACCCTCTGGCTTGCGGTCCAGTACTTGCCACACAACGTCCAGAATGTTGCCGTGTTTATGTCGGAATTTTTTGATGACGCTGCAAAACCATATGATGGTTCCACCCATTACAAATGCGGCGCATTGAAGAGAACTAGCATGCAAACAGGCACCATATGCTTTGCTGATGGAACACCCTTCGAGTTTGGCCCCAAGGACGATCCCTTCGCCCCTTATGGCATGAACGATGTCCTTTCCGCCCTTGCAGAAACCTTCTCATATCGCTACAAAGAGATCGCACCTCGCCCTCGCAGAGTTTCGAAAATACTGCCTGCACCTGATCTGACCCCGGAGGAGAAGGAAGCCGCCAAGGTGCTCGATGATCAAGTCCGTTTCGAAGAGCTGCTCCTCGAGTATATAAACGGCCCCGGCAGGCCCGAAAATGACAAGACTGAGCCTCAGGTCTCCCTGAGTGAACGGGAGCCATTCCCTTCAAGCTACCGCACTCGCAACGATAAGCGACCACGACAGGGGACTTGAAGCATCAGGCAGTGGCGGGTCCGTCAGGGAGTCGACCTAAGAGAGGATAGGGTCGGATGGTGGTATAGTCTGTAGTCGTCACGTAGATCATTCTACAAGTACTCATTTTAGACCCATTTCCGATTGTGATACACCCTCCGCGAGGGTAGCAGTCACACAGGAAACTTAAGGCCACAACAAGATTTAACGATGGGCTCCAATGAGGGTTTGAAGCCCTACTGACTCTCGTTGCTTGGCCCGCGGCGAACATCTTCCGTTTTTTGCACAAGGGCGGAGGTACCGTCGTCATGAGACAATGTGGTACGGTTGAACGGTTCGTTATACTTGAGGGAATCCGAAGGGCAGAGTATGAAGTCAATAGTAAAGAAATCTAGTTGAACAGCTATGTACGTTTGGGTAAATTTAGGAACCGATTGCTTGACCTGACGACACTGGTTACAAAGAGAACCCAGGTGACGTAGGGAACACCTTGCCCGCCATCTCGAGCAAAATCCTTCCGTGTGGATTCCGATTATTCATTTCAACCATTCCGCACCGGTCGAAATCGATAATTCTCCAAGGATGAACAACGTCGTGGCGTTGACAATGTTGCGCTTGGCTGTCCGCCTAGGGATGGTCAAGGGGTTTTAAAACCCCCGGGGTAGAGGCCAAGGGTAGAGCGGGGTAGGGGTAAGGGTAGGTCTCCAGCTACCCTTGGCCAAACCCCTACCCCCGGTCGGGGGTAAGGGTTTTGATAAAAATCAATCAAAACCCATTTATTTCAGCATCTATGTATATTTTCTACTAAATAACTGCTGTATGTGCAATAAAACACATAAAAATATACATATAGACAACTGTAAGTAATTGTTAGTGCCAAAATGATTAAAACCCTTGGTCAAAACCCCCAGGGTTGGGGGTAAGGGTACTACCCCTACCCCTCAGTCAGGGGTAGGGGTTTTGGGGGGTGGGGGTAAGGGTAGGTGTCCGGCTACCCGGGGGTTACCCCTGTCCTTCCCTATGTCCGCCCTATCCCTGAGGGAAAGGGCGTTCCAAGCCGTAACGTTCGAATGAATAAGACCATGCTCAGCAATGTCCTCCAGGACCTCTCTCACTGCCATTCTGGAGTGTGGAATTCAGTAAAGAGTGCGGATGGGGCGGCTGTAGCAGGCGCACTTACAGCACGTCGTTCCCTCGAGCTCGGTCCCCGGTACACGTCTCTCCCAGGTGCTCGAGAACGATGACACTGATCGTTGGATTTTCTTGTGGGCGACCCCATCTATACCATGACGAGGTCTTCTGGTATCCAGATGGGTCTTCGTAGCTCGGTAGATCTCCAGGGTAAGGCGGCACGTCGTCGGCAAGCCAGTCTGGCGAAGGGAACTCGTCGATGTCGCTAGGAGGGCTATCTGTTTCTTCAATTCGGTGCTTCCTATTTGTCCATGGTGTAAATTCGAGGTTTGGAAAAGCGGGCTGCTCCGCCATGGACGACGAAAAGAAGCCGTAGAAGTTGGGAATCGAGCTGCTCGTAGACCCATGCCTCTCGCGCCAAACTGCGACTGAACTCTGGTTTGGCAAACTTGAGGCAGACGGTGTCTGGAAGCCTTGCTTGTGGGTCCAGGGGGCCATGCGTTACGGAGACGACTTTGGCGATGTGTGTCACACCAATACGGCCTTCAGCAATGCGTCCGAGAAGGGAAAGCTCCAATGTGCCATTGGCTTTGGAGACGTCTTTGGAGTCCCAGGTCTTGGGAGCTGGCTCACCGCGACGCTCTCGAAACCAGATGGCACCAGGGAATGATGGTGAGACTTTGAGGGTTATCGTTGTTGACCTGCCTCCAATAGTGCCGCAGGTATGAATAAGGAGTGTTGAGAACATTCAATTTTCGCGTTGAGCGAGGTGGTGGTTCTTGGATAGCGATAGTGATAGGACAACGGGGCCTCCGAGTCAACAAAAAGCGGCCCTGCCCGTTGATGGCATCACACGGCGATATTCCCTTCCAAAGTTCAGGCTTTCGGTGCGCGTAGTGGATGGCAGTACTGGATTTGGCGCACGAGAAGACGCAGTTCTAGGTAGCGGAAAGCCTTTCGAGCTTTTGAGCGTCACCCCAAGAACATCGAGGAGGCAGTCTAGGGATAGGGGTACTCTTGAGCGCTTGAGAAGGTCGACGAGGTGTGGTTTGGCCCAGCGGGTCATAAAAGCCTCGATGGAGGAGGCTTTATCAGCAATCCACGTTTCCGCTTCCTCTCCCCCCGTATCGTCAGTTGCTGGCAAGGTATACCAACTGACAGAACTCACGCAATATTCGCCACAAAAGACTTGCGACTCGCTCACATCGCCACCTACTTCCCTCTCACCCACCGGTCTCTCACCTGCAATGACGAAAAGGAAATTATCCGAGCGCGTCAAACGCTCGCGACGATACCTGTACACAGCTTACCGCACTGAGTACGTTGTACGAAGACCATTGGCCTGTCCCCTATTGTATCGTCGCTAACCGCTGAACATGAATAGGTGTGAAGAAGCATTTCCAGTGACCTTTGAATTTACGGATGAAAGGACTCAGGACGGTTTTCCTGTGAGGTCTCTCCATAAGCCGGATATTGGGGTAACAATCCCCGTTCCGATGTATTATGCGGGCATCCTCGTCTCTGGTCGATGACTTTCCAATTAGAACCACCGCCACGGTGTGACTGGCAGGATTCCTGTCGCCTCCAAGGCACTTGTCGAGTGATGAAAGATGGGCAAGTCGTGACTCGTGAGTACTCCTGCTGCCCATGAATGCTACTCTCAGTCATATATATTTAGCGTCTTCTTCTGCCTGGCACCAATCGAAGGCACACTCTATCACGGTCACATCATGATGTTACATCAATCATTCGGGTTCTCCCTAATGCAAGAATTATATCTTAGAAATTGCCTGCAGGCTGCCTCAATTCGTATATACTCAGAACAACGATCATCATCCCATCAATGGCGTCTCTCATCTTCACTGCTGGTGGTAGGAACAAGTCGTCGGCGGAGAGGACCACTCTCAGCGCGAACATCGGGGCTAGCATGTAAGTGTACCTGAGCACTAAGATGTCCCCATCCATCCACACATAACATTGTTAACCTCTCTCTCTCATGATTATCGTCGATCGATGACGATCTACCGCCGATACCACCCCTCCATCCATTACTCGTACAGTACCCTCCCGACCATCCCGAACCTCCTCCCCCGCTCGGCGCAGAACCAGCCCGCCGCGGTCGACGTCCCCGATGGCCTCTACTCCGGATCGGGCGTCGCTGCGTCCGACGCGTCGCTTTCGCCTCAGGAGGTGTACGATGGCGGGTACTCGAACGCGACGGAGATGTATCTGCGTATCGCGACTGGCGGGTCTGGCCAATCGGGCTTGATCAAAGCATGGGCGGACGCGTTTATCAAGTATAATGTGGAGAATGGGTTGGCGCCGCCGTTCAAGGTGAGTGCCGTGCTGATATGTGGACTGGATGTCAATGAGTGTTCAACGTTCATGAATGATGGGTGCTATAGGTTGGATGGTATTTGGGTGATACGACGGAGAGTTTGGGGTTGATTGAGGCTGAGGCTGTGGATTTGGCTGTTACGTATAATGAGGCTGCTGAGAAGCAGTCGCTCAAGAGCGGGGCGTCTGTTAAACGGGTATATGGGTTCCGTGTACGTTCCCCCACTACTCACTTCTTCTTCTCGCTTGCATGTTTGGCTGACGTCGATGTGATGGATGACAGGATCACTTCATGCTCGTCGGACCCCTCGAGAATCCAGCAGCCTTGAGCGCCGAAAACGATGATGTGCTCACGATGTTCAACAAGATCGTCGCGCGCGGAAACGCGGATGTGGTGGTGAGTGTTCAATTCGTGACTACGCATGTACATACTACCTCTGGGTTCTCATATCGAATGATCATCGGCCCAGAAACCCCCTTCGGATCGTCCACCCGTCCGCTTCCTCTCCCGTTTCGACAAATCCGCGACGAACATCAAAGACTCGGAGCTCTTCATCAAGATTGGGCAAGTCCCCTGGGGCCTGCCGTACTCCAAATGGTACCACCAATACACGCAGTACCCGCTGCAAGCCCTCAACGCCGCGGCCCTCCTCAAAGAGTACACCATCACCGATAAAGGAACGTGGTTCTCAAGCCCGGCAGACGTGAACGCCAAATTGACGGTATTTAAGATTGGGTCGGACGAGCAGGTGGATGGGCATGATGATGAGTTGTTGAATCCGGCGCATGTGATGTTGAGTAAGAACCCCGGGCATAGGGATGTGGCGGAGAGGTTTATGGAGTGGGTGGTTAGTAAGGATGGGGGGCAGAAGGTTATTAGGGAGTTTAAGAAGAATGGGGAGGTGCTTTATTCGGAGGCGCCTGATACCGAGTAAGTCTAAGGTGCGGTGAGTTGAGTTTGATAGGTGGTGTTGGATGTGGGTGGATTGGTATTTGGACGGATGTGTGTGTGGTGGTGGTGGTGGTGGTGGTGGTGGTGGTGGTGATATGATATTGAACGTTTGTGATCCTATAGTTTTGTATACATGATGTAAAATAGTATGGTACTTGTTACCGAATTGTACTGCTCAGGCTCGACCTTTGGGAGGTACGCGTTCTCCGAGCGACTATCCAGGTGGGGAATGGGAATCATGTATAGTATTTCTTTTTTGATGCACCTATTTCTGGTGCCATTACGGACGTTGAGCCTCGAGGGAGAGAGCGGGAGAGACAGAGGTTTGAACTTTTTAGCGCCCGAGTCATGGTGACGGAGTGCACAGTTTGTGTTTGGCTTCCACTTGGCGTGCAAATAAGCTCAAGCGAGCAACAAACAAGCACACGCGAGAGAGCCGGCACCGGGTGCATTTTGGTTCCACCCACTGCGATGACGTCGACGTCTGCGCAGAGCTAGTGCGCAGTTGCAGTGTCAGTTGCGCTTGATCAGTCCTTCAGTACTCAGTACTCAGGGTCTGTATGGAGAAAAAGGAACGACAGGACATAGGCCTTTGACCTAAAAGGTTTTAACTTTTTTCCCCTCGCGCTTGCACTCGCAACAGGATGTCTCTGATCATGACTCGACGTACAGACGTCGTTTGTCGTTCTCATTTCTCGTGAGTCGTCGGTATGTACAATGTGGTGCGGTCGATGTCAATACACAGGTTATGTCCTTTGTCACTGCCCGACACAGGGAGTCTATAGACTCTACCCACGGGAAACGCAGAAAGGAGTCAAAGGAACTGTGTGTGTGTACCTATTAACAGTTCGTGGTCTGAGTGAGCTATGTAAGAGCTTCGAAGGGACAAAAGCCCGGAGATAACCAGGGCTATCCTGTCCAGGGGGAAGGAAAAAAAGCTTATTGTCTTTCGGCGTTTCCACGTGTACCGATAGGGGTTGAGTTGCCTGAAGAGGCAGACAGGCAAACACAGCCAAGCAACCTGGACAAGGGCCGCGTCCTAAAATAGCAACAACCCAATTGTTGCAAGTTCGTTTTTTGTTACGGCAATGTTACGTACGAGGAACAAAAGGGAACCCGGGGATGTGGTTGGACAGGTTCAATTGTTCACCGGCACGGTTCGAGTCTTTCTTTGGGCTTTGGCGGTTCTCTTTTGTCTTTTTGGCGAGGAGGGAACCGAGGATTACGCTTACGCTTACGATTTTTTGTGTTTGACTGACGATTCACGACGCCTACGATTTGTGTTCTGACGATTCACGACCCACGGCAGCCGACGACTCGACCCTTTCGTTTACGACTCGCGGGTCTACGGGGACCAAGATTACGGGTCGACGACAAGTTGTCCTTTTACGACCCTTGGATTCTACGACAGACAATTGAAGGAAAGGAATAGAGGTCTAGGGTTTCCCTTTATTGTATACCCTCCTTCCTTCCCTTTCTTTCATCACTTTCTTTCTTTCGCTTTCCCTGGGTCCCTTTCACTTCAGCTACTCGAGCCTTTTCGTTGCTCGCTTCCCTACGAGGGTCCACTCGAGTGTTACCTCCCTTCCTCGTCGGCAGTAGCACCATCCCTCGTCGAACGGCAGCAACACCACCCCTTCCCCGTCGTACGGTCGCCATCGCCCCTTTCGTTCAACTCCCTCCCGATCCTTTTCAACCACACCACCGGCCGACGACGACGACACACACGACGAACGGCTACTCGCTCTTTACAACACAACCACTATCTGAACGACTCGTACACGAAGAACAAGTTGAAGATTGAAAGGCCTACACATACTACGAACAAGAACAACAATAACAATAACAATAACGAATTCAAAGACCACATTCTATAGCACAGCACGGTAAGTTTTCGATCTACATTCCATTTTCTCCTTGGAGGAGGGACCAAGCACCGACGACAAGACATACACATCTAGAAACGATGCCTCGACCGACACCACCGACTCTGAAAGTGGACACGACGCACGCGAACGAGGTGCACAACCACCACAATGAGCTGCGGTACGAACTAGAAGTCACGCCCCGCCCCTCGCTCGACACAGTCTCCATCGCGGATCTCAAGAATCCTTCACCAGCTATGCACAACAACGACAACAACGACAATGAGAAGGACGGCAACGACTCGCCGTCGCCGTCGCCGCTGCAGACGACGACGCAGGTCGAACCCTCCATCCGGCTGCTCTTCTCCCTCCTCTCGCGGCGGCACTTCTTCTTACTCCTCCTCCCCGCCATCCTCACCTCCCTCATCTCCGGCGGCATCGCCCCTTTCATGACCTACGTCGTCGGCCAAGCCTTTGACGCCTTTGCACAATACCCGCTCTCCGACGCTACAGCCCAAGACAAAAGCGATCTGCTCCGCGGGGTGGGTCTCGCTGCTCTGAGCCTTGTGGGGCTGGCGTTTGGCAGTCTGGCAC